GGAACTTTCCTTAAGTCTTCTTCTCGATGCCTTTTAAATTTATCTATATGAGCCTTTCAGTTGACAGAATGACTAACTCCAATTTCAATATTTTTATTATTAATTTTAGTGATATTTCTAGTGGGAAAATTTATTCACTTCATTCACATTATTCATTATTCACAGTTCTATATTTCAACACTGCAATCATCTACTCTGGAATCAACTTACTCACTGTTTATACAGTTATTATGAATTTCCCAACTAGGAATGTAACTAAAAAGATTAAATGCTAAAATATCTGGAAATTTTCGATGTGAGATGTACGACCACTACTTAGCCGTAAGATATGTAACGCTCTGCTAACACAGCTGGAGTCGACTGATTGTAGTGTTTTTGCATATGGATTGAAATATCTCTAGAACTACAAATCGAATCTTCTTATTTTAAGCAAGGGAAATATTCTTCATTTTATCCTCTTTGTAATGGGCTATTAATTAAAATTGTATCTTAACGCGACGCCGTATAAGAGAGGCGAAAGGGAAAAAAATAGCGTCGAAAGGCAACTGATAACGAAATTTATTGAAGATATGTATTAATATATCTCTGGAACTAAAAATCGGACCTGCATATTGTTAGCAAGGGAAATGTTCAGTAATTCATCCTCTCTGTAATGAGATATAGATCAAAATTGTATCTTAAATCAATGCAGTTTTAGAGATGAGATGGAAGAAAAAAAGTGCCGAAAACCAACTGATAACGAGATTTATTGAAGATATGTATTAAATTATCTCAGAAATTAAAAAGATTTATAATTTATATTTAATATAATATAAATTATCTACCGATGCACATCTGCTGATTTTCAATACCATGATAGCTGCAGATACATAGCTAAAAAGAAAGAAAAAAAAAAAAAAAAAAAATATATATATATATATATATATATATATATATATATTAGTCTCGCCTTGTTGATGATTTCACTCCTATCGTGTGGTCTAAAACAGATACTTTAGTTGTATTTTTTTTTTAAATGAGGAAAAAAGGTTGAAATATAGTTATTCAGATATTTTATTTCTTGTCTGTTTCAAATTATTTAAGACAGAACAAGATTTAAAAAAAAAAATAAAATAAAATGTATCATTTATTTGAACGAACTTCAAAGCTTTGTAAAATGGAATTGAAACATTTCATTCTTTATTCTTCCTTTTATAATTGGACAAAGGCAATTGTTCTTTCGCTTGGAAGATATTATTTTTTCCTTTTTGAAAATAAATGAGCCATTCAGTTTCCTGAGAGTTTTCTCTAAAACGAAAATACTCTCTGTGCCTTTTTAGTTTCGAAAAAATCTTGTTACAGTAATTGAAAAATAACCGTAATCAGTAATCATCAGCAATTATTTTCTGATTTGTTTCAATCACTTAGATTGCCTAAGTAAGGAGATCTCTCATCCAACGCCTTTTTAGTCTCCTCCTAATATCCATGGGTATGTCAGCTGTTTCCATGTCTCTTATTAATTTGTTATTTGTTGGTCGACTGTTGGAAGGTAGAGGTCAGTATGTAGACACGTAGTTAGTCACGTAGTAAGATACTTTTTGATAATATATAAATACGCATAAATAGTTTTGATTGAAAGGTTTGAAGTTTTTGTAGGAGGGTCTTTTTAGCAACACTGTATATCTGTGATGAGTATGTTCATATGGTTCAAGTAAGTATGTAAATGCATTTAATTTCTGTCTCAGTTTCAGTTTTGATGATTTATAAAAAAGTGGATAGAATAATTTGAATCGTTTGTTAAGTGTCATACGTTTTATTTTCACGTGCAGACCTCATGTCATCCTTCTGTGGAAAATAAGACCAATATAAAGTACTGTGTCCGTTAGAGGATTTTTTTTTGTTGTCAATATAAACTGCAGGACAGATGTTTTTTCGAAGAGTAAATTTTAGAAGTTTGGATTTGTCATAATTAAGTCCAATTTTCCACAGTTTGAACCAGTCTTGTAATTTACGTAAGTGATGTAAAGTTAGTGAGACCTGTGTAGGATCTTGATGTTTTGTGAGAATATTTGTATCGTCTACATAAGTAGCTGTCAATGTCTCACTGGTTATTATATACTATGCAAAGTGGAGGGGCAAGTATTGAACCTTGAGGAATTCCTGCCACCTTAACTTAACAATCATAACTTAATAAATAAATCATTTCTCTTTCTACATTTACATAATTTAAACTATTTTAAGACTGTTGCTATGAATCCAATTTGGCAGAAAGAAATAGTTGTTTGCTTGAAATTATATTTAAAAATCGATACTTTTCTTGCCAACCTACGAAGAAATAACTTATACCGTGACTTATAAGAACATCTTTGTTTGCAAAATCAGTTTTCCACTTGGTTTGTTCTCAAACACCCTTCCTTATTTCCATAATGTCCTACCCTTAAGAAACTTCGCCCTTTCTTCAGCCTTCCTTTAATCTGTAATGGTTCTAAAATTTAAATGTTCGCACACAAGGTAGCAAGCTTCGCAGTTTCACAAAAACGTTATAAAATGTCATTCCTGGACTGGATATAAATATTATCTACATAATTTATTTCATTGCAGGGCTTCATACCAATTACATTAAAAAATAATGTAAGCTGTAATTGAGACTATATATTTTTTATTTCTAAGCCACAATTATACGTTTCGAAAAGCATTAAAAAAGGCTGTTCCGTAACAAATGCATAAATCGGTTCAATAATATAAAAATCATATTCAGAAACATTCAAAAATACTTATGTTATTATCTATAAATTAAAAAATCAGCAAATAAAAAATGTTGAAATACTTTGGAATGGTTTACTATCTCAATCTAGTTTTTTTTTTTTTTCTATTTGCATTACAGTTCATGTAGATCTTTTGCCACCTTAACAAGCCTGCTCCATCTCTGCTTGCCTTGGGCTATTTCTTTCCAGTTATTTGCACATAGCTGATTATCTATCAACCTGTTTTTTGGCCTTCCAAGTGCTCTCTTGCCTTCAATTGAGGCATTCATTATTACGTAGAGGCTTCAGATGTATTGCTACGAGCTACATTCCCTGCCCATCTTACCCTCCCTGTTTTATTTTTTATCTGATAAAATGAGATGTGCTATTTCTATCTAGCTAATATCTACAGCAGGCGGAGTAAGCCAGTGAAAAAATCACTAACAAACTGAATAAGCTAAATATTACAGTCAATCAAAAGAAGACAGACTTCATTATTTTCTCCTTTCATACGAATAACCACCATCTCCTTAAGGTCTATAAGATAGCGGGTAGTGAGAACAGACCGGCGAGTAGTATAGTATATCTAGGCTAGTATAGTATGTTACCCTCGATAGGCAGGTATCACGTAGGCACGTATCTGCCTCGCTACTGTAACGATGAATTAAAATCGGTTGGGACCAAGCCATATAGGTTCAACCATCTATTGACTTCTTCTTACTTATCCCTCCGCCTCAAATTAATGATTTACAAGAGTATTTTAAGACCGATCCTCCTTTATGGAACACCAATACTATCCAACATATCAATGGCAATAGCGTAGAAGCTCCAACAGTTTCAGAACTGTGTGATAAGAAATAGTAAGATACACGACTTTACAAAAAATACGTACTGATCAACTACATACCACTTTCCAATATGTTAGAAAACTTCATCAAACAGAGGCATATCGAATTCTTCGATAGCGTCAAGTTCTCGATAAACCCACTTTTCAAAACACTTACTCCACTTACTCACAAACCTATGAGATGGCAGACTTACGTTAGAAATCTCTTACATGACTGAGAAAAATGATTGACATTTACAGGACACTTGTGAGCCGCGTCAATAAACTGAAACTTACACCACAACTATAAATTAAAAAAAAAAACAGTAATCCTCATTTCTCTCTTAAATTACACCTTGTGCATTGAAAGAGGTCCCATATTTAATCCTCGTCCTACCCCCTGTACTCAAAACCATATCCCATGGGGTTAAGCAATAAATCTAGTTTATATCCATATGTGCATGTTTCAGGTGAAAATTTCAATATTATAAAATAAGGCTCTGTTTATTTTTCACCATATTTATTTTAATTTTCATAGCTACGTTTCGGACTAATTAAATTTAATTAGGCTTTGGACTACATGCAAAAAGCATGGTTGAATAAAATGGCTTACCGGCCAACGTAAAAAAAGAATGAAACGTAGCTATGAAAATTAAAATAAATATGGTAAAAAATAAAATGAGCCTAATTTTATAATCTAGCTTATATATTCTTTTGGTGGTTAGATTATTGATTTAAAAATTTTAGTAATATTATAACAGTTGTTATAATCTCTCTCTCTTTTTTTTCTGATTAATTTTCTTCATTTTTTACATGATAACAAATTAGTCTGTGGTACAGACCCTTTTTTATCAAACTATTAACATCCAGCTGAAACTTCGTAAATAGCTTCATCTTATCGTAACCTACAACTATTTTATTTACCGAAACTCCCGGAATTGGGGCGTTTTCAACCTGGAAGAGGGTAAACTTTATCTGTTTAATTAGGTACTAAAAACTCGTAAATACCCATTTTCTTTCCACTTTAATTGTAAGATAACTTGAGGATAATGTCGAGGAAAAAGGTGGCCTTCAAAAATATTGAGGAGTTTGTCCTATATAACCTCGTTATTTTGACAATTTAGGAGTGTAGGTGACGTCAAACGGCACAATATTTTTGAAGGCCAACTTTTTTCTCAATTTTGTGCTCAAGTTATCTTACGATTAAAATGGAAAGCCAATGAGTATTTACGAGTTTTTAGTGCCTAATTAAATAGACAAAGTTTGCCGACCTCCAAATTGAAAACGCCCCAATTCCGAGAATTTTCGTAAACAAAATATTTGTAGGTTACCATGAGATGAAGCTATTTACGAAGTTTCAGACGGATGTTAATAATTTGATAAAGAGGGGTCTGTACCACGGACTAAGTATATAAGTTAAAGACGTCCACAAATAAACTCAGGTAACTTACCTAAAATCATTGTCGTTCAAGTAACCACCTTCTGGATACCCCTCATCGAAGGTTTCTCCTGGGGAATAAGGTGGTCTTCGCATCATGAGCATTCGAGGCATGTAAACCAGGAACACAGTCTTCACCCAAGGAGACATCTTATGAGTAGAAGGAGATCTGAAATCATAGAAAATTGAATAAATAAAAAATCTGGTGTGTCCACTCACACGACTTTCCTACCTATTTCAGAAAGGTTTTTACATCTTTACATATGTCCACCAAGAAACAAAAAAAAATTGAATTAGATTTATTTTCCTGAAAATTGATCAAAGAAAAGATTTTAGTAAGATTTCTTTGATAAACTAAAGCTCTGTGAACCGGCTTGTGGTAGATCAGTGTGAACATTTCAATACTCTCTAATATTGCTGATCAAAAACTGTTTTCCATAGCCTAATTTTATCACACAATAATTTCTGTTAAAAGTAGTGGAAATAGTGAAGCTTGTGTGATGCTGGCAACAGATTTTCTTAATTTCGCTTAGTTATCTTTTTTCTCTCGTTCATCGCTTTCTGATACCAGGATATGTATCCGTAATCTTACTTTAAAAAACAAACAGGCTAAACAGTGTTTTTTCGGACTCAGGGGGCTCTGAAACGTATACAACCGTCGAAAACCGTATATCGGAAAATTGACCCGATAGCAATCTCTACTAAATTCTAAGCACACGATGGTGTGCTTAGAATTTATATATCTTGAATAGTTCTTTATAAGTACCTTCTTATTCAGTAAAAAACGTGACCGCCTAAAGAAAAACACAAAATTGGTTTGAAATTTTATCAAGGATCACCACCAGAGTTTGGCCACTAAGAAAAGGACAGAGTATAAGATTACGAAAAAGAAACATTTTTCACCTAGCGAATCATTATTTTAAGGACGCTTAACCCCAATGGTAAATGATAAATTGGTAACGGAATTGCAATATAATAGATTCAAGACCTCCGACCATAAGTACAAAATAATAGAATTCAACATGAAATTTGACAATTTAAATTTAGCACCGAGATAATCGGATCTTCACATTAAAAGAATTTTCCGAACTGTTGGTGGAGCCAACGTTGATCTTTTGAACTTTGAACAATTTTGATTATAAACATATTAGGCTTTGGTGCAGACACCTTTTTATGAAATTATTAACATCTGCATCGAACTTAATAAATTGCTTCATATCATCGTATTCCACAAATATTTTATTTACAAAAATTCACGGAATTGGGGCGTTTTCAATCTGGAGATCGACAAACTTAGTCTACTTAATTAGGCACTAAAAACTCATGAATACCAATTTGCTTTCTACCTGAATCGTAAGATAATATGATCACAAAATAAGTAGTCTAAAAAAATATTGGTCCGTTTCGCGTGATCTACTCCTCGAAAAAGTTAAAATAACGAGGTTATATATGTCAATATTTTTGCAGGCCTCCTCATATTTTTTCAATTCATTTTTTCTGGATTCAAGTGGAAAATAAATGAGTATTCATGAGTTTTTAGTGTCTAATTAAATACCCAAAGGTTGCCGATCTTCAGATTAAAAACGCCCTAATTCCGTGAATTTTTGTAAATAAAATATTTGTAGAATACGATGATATGAAGCAATTTATTAAGTTCCATGTAGATGTTAATAATTTCATAAAAAGGTGTCTGCACCAAAGCTTATTCCGAAAATCTTTGTAGGTTACGGTGTGATGAAGCCATTTACGAAGTTTCTGACAGATGTTAATAATTTGATAAAAAGGGTGCGAGACCACGGACAATATATTTTTTTTCTCTGATATTTTGAATAAATTCCAAAAAAAAAAAATTTCTATAATAAAGACATCGGATCCTGGATTATCAAGCTTGAAATTCGGGACGGAACGAGAGCTTATCCAGAACAAGGAGTAAAGATAATTTTCCAGGTGGGATGTTTTAACTAAGGTAGGACAAAGAGGTTGATGGAACAGGTGGGGAGAACGTGGTGGCAACTTTGGCTAACTCGCTACATCCAATTAATACTTGGACTTCAGTTAGGCAAGTGGTTTTCACTTATTATCATACTTAATTACCAACTTTGCAAGTCTCATGTAGAAGCGCACACCCTCTTCGTCAGGAGGTCTTCTTTTAAGTTTTAATTGGACTCGAGAAGAGTTCAGAATTAAAATTTTAATACCCTTCATGAAATGACTTATAATACCAAACAACAGCTAACGAAATATAAAACTATATCCATGATATAAATCTTTTTTAAGGGATATTTCAATGCTAAGGATAAAAATTATCAATAAATAATTTAAATATTCAACAGAAGAATGACCCGGGGTCCACACGTCAAAATTAAAAGAAAGACTTTAAAGAAGCGACTGAAAATACTCTTTTCTTTCTTTATTATTTTCAATAATGAACCATTGTGATCGACCAAAAAATTAAAAAACTTTTTCAAATTTGGATATAAAATCTCATTTCCTCCTTCATCGACATTACTATCCGTCTTTTACTTTCGAAATAGCGGCCGAAAAACCTACGCTGGTATAGAGTGTAGCGCCTAAACGAATGTACCGATTTCAATGAAACTTCGCTGAAGGCATTTTCTCGACGCCCTTTAAACGTATCTATATAACATACTTCAACGAAAAGAAGCTGAAAAAAAAGTTACGAGGGTTGGTAAAATTAATAACTCAAAAAGTATACACTTTTTTGTCGATATTGTAATGTTTTTTTTTAAGTTTCCTAAAAAACAAAAAAGACTCGTTAAAATTGGATAATTAGGATCAAAGATATGGTCTCCAGTTTTTTTTTTTTATATGTTCTACTGCAAAGGTTATATCCTTTGTTTTGGTTTTTGAATTTTGAATGTGTTACTAAAGTAATGCTAATTTTTGTAGCATATTACTAATAAGTAAAAAAAAAAGTTTAGTCCAATAATTAGAATCACCTTTTTTTATTTTTCTTTGTAACTAGGAAGGTAATGTTACTTTAGATGTATAATTGTTTGGAAATAATAAACCATTGTGAAATAATTTGCAATTTTTTTTTAAAATGAAAATGGAAAAACTAAGATGTGTGCTTTAGACCACACGATAGAAGTAAAAACCTTATTAAAGCGAGATTAATGATATGAAATATAGATTATAAATAATAGCTCATTATAAAGAGGATGAAACGCAGAACATTTCTCCATTACATATATTGTCAAGATATGTAAATAAATGATAATTTTAAAAAAATAAAAGGTCTTAAAAGTAATAATTTTGTCTACAAATCTTAAAAAAAAAAGCAAATGTATAACATTTTCATAGAATTATACGATTGAGTATTTCAAACTAGGCATATTTATATTTTGAAAATTAAGTTGTTTTTTTTCCACTTTTGATCTTCATTAATCCGCACCTTACGTGACAATCAGTAGATATGATATTGTTGGCAATAATGGTATTATAGGCATGAGAAAAGATAGTGTCCAGCGCACCTCTTCCCTGTCTTTACTTCCTTAAATGAGATCTCCCATCCAGTTCATTTTCAGTCGCCTCGTGATGAGCATCTTAGCCATGGTCATGTCGTTTATACCTCTGTTGTGTCCGTGTTGTTTAATATGCAATCGGGAGGAAAGAGTACGATTGGACGATAGTTCGCTGTCCTAAGTCGGTATGTAGAGTTTGGTTATTTACAAATCAGGGAGCTGCCGCCATAAGTCTTAAAATTTTTAAATGAAAAGATAGTAGCTTTTGTAAGTGAGTTTCTTAAAAAATAAAGTGTTTTTTTTCCTTAACAATTTCTTCAATATGAAGTTTTACTCAACCAAACTCCTGTTTCAGCAAGTCTCTCCATCTTTGCCGGTCCATCGCATCGTTCTCCAATAGTCCCCTACCAGCCATACTCTCCACCACTCCATCCTTCCTTCTAACTGAAGGGTCTTACTCTCCTTTTTCCACCCTCTGCCTCCCAATCCATATTTGGTACCATATCGTCGCCCATTCGTTTCACATGGCCATACCATCTGAGTCTCCTTTCTTCAATCAACTCAAGGATATTTTGTTTTATTTCCAATCTATCTTATAGTGCAGTTTCTTACCGCTTTGATCCTCGATATCCTAGCTGCTCTCCTCCAAAAATCCATTTTAACTAAAAGGAGTTTTTTCCCCGTGTCATAGTGAGGCGACATGTCTCCGAAGCACATAGCATTAAGTTTTCTGCATAAGCATTGTATATTAGTTTTTTTTTAAATTGTTTTTATTAAAATATTACTGCTCCAGAGTAAAGATTTAAGCATTCCCAATGGTTTTTTTATCACTCATAACCTTTTTTGGCCTCTGTTCTACCATTTCTTTTAATTATGGATACCAAATAACAAAACTGTTCCACTATACTTAGGTTGCATTATGTTTGGTCGGTGCTCTCTTGTTTCACCGTGCACATATATTTAGTTTTGTTATATTTTATTTGGTGGCCTCCTTGCTCATAATGATCTATTATTATCCTGAATAGGTAGCTTATATCCTCTATATTTTGAGCAATTAAGTCCTTGTCATCAGCAAATATTAAATGGCATAGGTTTTTCTTCTTAACTCGAATAATTAAAAATAAAGTTAAAAATTTAAAATTTACTGTATTCCTGTTATTATTTTTATTCAAACACATAACATAAAATAAATGTAAATGATAATATGTAATTAGTAATTTTTAAATGTTGTTTTTACGTAAGTAAAAAGATGTTGAGTTCTTCTCGAACTCTAAAGTTCTTATTTTTATTTTATTTCAATTTAAGGTGCAATGTATAACGGAGGCAATATATTCAATGAATAGGCGGTTTCATATATATATATATATATATATATATATATATATATATATATATATATATATATATATAAAGTGGTTTATTATAGATAAGTAAAAACAAACTGTAACTTAATTTCTTCGCCCACACCTGTCAGAACTACGCAGTCAGAGAGTCTGCTATCGTGAAGAATACTGGTAGTAGCTTGAACGTGAAAGAAAGGAATGTATCGTTTGGGAATTGTCTTGGTTAAGTCCAATTTTTAAAAGTTTACGTGAGGCGTGTGTTGAATTTTTATGTCTTATTAAAATTGTTGTACCATGTGCGTAATTCGCTGTAATATTCCGGTACTGTGAGGAATGTCGTATTTGTGTATGATGTATAAAAATGGAGCGAGTAGAGACCCCTGAGGAACTCCTGCTAAGGCTGGTCTCAGCAAGTTTCTGAGCCATGGCGTACAGAGTAAAGTATATCTGAGATATTAGATTGAAGGATATGATACCAGACTCTATCAAATTCTTGAGGGACATCCAGAAATACTCTTATTATTATTGTGGCATTATTGTGTCATCCGTAAATACGTCAAAGTCTTTTGTAGAGTAGTCTCTATAGATTTGAGAACTGATCAGGAGCAGGCTAATGGACCTAAATAATGAAGGGATGTAAGCCTTGTTTGTTTTGTGGATCATTGCAATGTATGAGTATTTTACATCGGTATAGAGTATTTTACATTTAGAATTTAAATTTTTTAGAGAATTTAGTAGTTCTGAATATTGCTAGTATAGAGCTTTCTTTAGTATTTTCTGAAGCACTTGAGCATTTATCAGGTCATTGTCGGGGGTTTTGCTTAAATTAAATTACTAGCATGAATGGAGATTATCAATTTGTGTGCAATATTTCGGGCATATTTAATTTTTAATAAATATCATCCTTCAAATAAAATTTCAATTCATATTTTTAATTCAGTAAAGGCTAGATTTGTAGTTGGCTTTTAAAATACAATTTTTAAAAATGTTTATCTGCAACATGTCGACAATCTTTAATATACAATTAGAAATTGTAATTTCTCAAACGTTCCCACACAGTGATCGAATTTATTTTCTCAAGACAGAATTATGAAAGTGGACAATTCTTTTAAATAAATCTAAAATAAAATGACAGACATCACTAAATTTCCGGTAGTGTTATTTCGGATAATTCATTTCTGATAAAAATAAGTAAATTATTGGTTAGCATCAATTTTATCAAAAATGAATAATTTCATTTAATTTATATTTTCAATAGAAATATTAGTATATATATTTATACCTATATCTATATATATATATATATATATATATATATATATATATATATATATATACATATATATATATGTGTGTGTGTTATTAAAATATTTGTAATAGAAATATAGTTTATTATGGAATCCATAAATAATTATGATTAAAATATGTGATATTTGGTTGTATCTTAGTTTTACAAAGTTTATTTATGTTTCTTATTTTGTTTTGTTTTTTTAATTTGTTCATACTTATAGATAGGATTGTGTCTTATCTAATTTTAACAAATATTTTAAATCTCTAGGTTTAAAAAATATTTTTTCTATAATCTTAACATTGGAAAAAGATGAACTTCAGATCATAGATTACTCCTGACTTTAAGGCGCTATAGATATACTAAACTGCTCGATTTTCATGTATTGCGGTATAGTAGAGACATAGCGCCTGCGTTGGGCGAATTGCGAAAGCAATCTGGTATATTAAATCTAATAATAATAATTTATATAATTGTATATATATATATATATATATATATATATATATATATATATATATATATATAATATTTGTATTTTCACGTAATACACTAATGACCCTTAGGAATAAAGGCTAAATAAAAAAAAAAATATGTATAACCTAAACTGAAATGGTGTCTGATTTATCTTGCCTTAATATATGCAACTTTATTTATAGAATATCCTCATTCTATATTTGTTTTTACTTTAATTGATTTGTAAAATAAAATATTGACTCAACCCAATTAAGGTTATAATTTATACAATGCTGATTTTTAAGAGGTGACTAACATCACTACCGTAATGTTAAATGTAGTTTTGTATGAAACCAATTATGAATTGGATATTACAGATCAGATGGTTTCAAAATGGCATCATAGCCAAAAAGGTACCAATATAAAAAAATAGAAAATAAATTTAGTGAAATAATACAGACTTATTTTATAATATTAAATATAATTTCATCTTAAACATTAAACAAAAATGTATATACCTATTAGATTTATTGAAAAAATCTGTTTAAATCTGCAGTTTCTTTATATTTTTAGGATCTCTAGTACTAAAGTATATATTTCAGCTATAGACTAATCTTTTTAGACTTTTTTTAAATTCTTAGTTGAGGTTTCGCTCGATATTAAAAAAAAAAACAGATCAACAATTCTCATAATGATAGAATTCATATCTGTCCATTTAGATGGGCTAGAAAATTAATTTTATTTTTGACCTGATATTTACCTGAAATGTATATTGAGCACGCAGACCGTCACACATATGGAGAAAGAGACGATGGCCATAGTGAAGAGGAGGTATTTCCCTAACAGAGGCACGGCCAAAGAAGTCGGTGGTATAATTTCGGCCAGCAGGAGGAAGAACACAGTGAGTGAAACCAGAATGGATGAGCAGAGGGTGATCTTCTCTCCGGAGTCTGAAGGAAGGTAGAAGACGAGGACCGTCAAGAAGGTGATGCCGACACATGGAATGATGAGATTGACCGTGTAGAAGAGTGTCTTCCTACGCATCGTTAGGTTGAACGTGATGTCTGAAAAGAAATAGAATAAATTAATTATAAATCTTATTTATTTATTATAAAATTAATTATTTAATTTAATAGCAGTAAATCAATAATTATACAAGGTGTGGCTATAAAATAACGAGACTGGTACTGCAGAACACTTTATTTTGATTTTGTACATATTGACTTATTATCACATTCAATATATACCCCTCCTTTATTCCTCCTACACTGTTCCATGTGGATCTCCTACTGTCTAGAACATTGCTGGAAGTCTTCTTCTCTCAGCTACTTCAAGGCGCGTGCTTCTCTATCAACAAGAAATTTTAGATGACTAGTGAACGTGCATAATTCCTTTGAATATCGTGTGCTGTAAACGTGGGCTCTTTCAGAGCATCGATTGGATGATCATAAGTAAAATATTATGGTTTGCCAATCTGTAATAAAAGGAACGAGATTTTAGCTCTTTGAAGCTGTGAAAAAGAAAGAAAAGCATCAAGCTTCCTAAAGGAGCTGACAGAAGACTTCCTGCACTGTTTTAGACAATGGGGGATTCGCATGGAGCTTTGTATGGATAGATGAGGGGTGTATATTGAAGATAATAATAAGTAAGTATGTAATAATAAGTGTCTCACCACTACACTGAGTTAAAGTGGCTCTTCCCCTCCATTCGAAGACAATATTTCCTAGGCACGTTCCTCTATCAAATCATCAACAATCATCGTCTTTCTTACACCTACAACCTTCTCCGATTCAAGTCCTCAGTCCACTCCCTTTCCACAAGATCTCGACCTTCCGACCTTTACATTCCTTCTCACAGATCTGCTTCGTTCCAAAACTCGTTTATTGCTCGCTCTGTTAATTTCTGGAATTCAATTCCTATCAAAATTCGGCATTCTCCCTCCCTATCAACATTTAATACTCTCTTATTCCAATTTCTATCCCAAAAACAATTAGACACCCTCCGCTAATCTTTTATGTAAATTTACATATTATTCAAAATGATATATTTACATATAATTCATCACTTAAATATTTACTATCAGATTCATCTTCTTTTTCTTTCTTTTTTCTGCAGAAAAACAGAGTTTATTGCTAAGAAGAATGTAATGTATTTTTTATTTTTTTTAAGTGTTTACTTACCACTCACTGTACGAAGTTTTAAGTGTCTTGGCATAGTTTCAAGTGTTTTGTATATAGATTTTTTTTATTTTGTACATAGTATGTTTAACTAATATTTTCTTTACGTTTTTCTCTTTATTTTTACATCTTATGTTTGTTTTTACTTGGGCCAGATTTTGTACTTCTTTTTGTTATTCTAAAGGGACTTCGTCTCAGAATAAAATTATTTTCTATTTTATTCTATTCTTATAAAATTAAAATGTTTTTCAGCCTCAGTTTCGTTACTTGAGGGCCACAGTGTAGACAAGAGTTTGTCTGCCTTATATCAGGAATAAAATAAAATTTAATAAGAGGAGAATTTATATTGTGAGTTCGAACCCGCCTGGATCAATTAATAATTATTTCCGTAAGGCTCAATGAAGTCAATGTTGTCTACGATTAGGATTAGCGAAAAGTATTAACATGTTTTCGGATTCTCACAACTACTAATACCAATACAAGTAGTTCAAATATAACTGCATATAAGAAACCTGTAACACCACAACTCCTCCAGCAATTGGTAAAAAAGTAATGTTTCTGGAGTTTACGTAGCCAAGATCATCATTCTTTTTCTGACTCTTTGAATGATCAGGTACTCCCTCAATAGAGGTTGAAAGTGACTTATACTGTCCTTCGCACTGAGCTATATCAACCCTCATAGCTGTCTTATTAAGCTACTATAATAAAAAATAGTATACCTGAGGTTTTTTGTTTTGTTTCTTATTAGAAAATAATATAATAAATTATTAAAATATTAGTCCCTTTTATCATAGACTTTAGTAAATTTAATTATTGTTTTCTCATAGAAAATGTTGTATACATTACCATGATGTACGTAGGATTTAATTATCTTGAATAGTTTTTGAATAATTCCTTATTTTATTCAATAAAAAACGTGACCATCTTAACGAAGACACGAAATTAGTTTTAACTTATTTTTCGTTCGGAATCGACCCACGTATGAATTGAACTTTTTTGTTGGAAATTTTGTCTAGAATCACCTCCCTCCCCAATAGAGTTTGGTTATTAAGAACCGAGACACCCTGTATAAATTCATGGATTTAATATTAGAATAATTCAATATTTTTATAGAATCAAATTTGAATTTATTTAAGCAATCACAGTGCTCCAAAGAACACACAGCCCAACGTTTTTAATGTACCTAAAAGGTTAAATGACGGTTTTTATAATAAACGGACGTTGATACCTAATTATTTAAATATAATATTATATCTAGAATATAATAATATTATTAAATTACATTAAATGTATTTAAGGTTATAAACATATGCTTTATACATCCATGAAATAATCTTTTTTTAACAATGTCATTGCCTTTATTAGGTGCATTTTAAATACTTTTTTAAATTTTGAAAATAATTTATAAAAATTTACATTTAGTTAGAAAGTTTTATTTAATTTCCTTGAAAACTTATGATTCCCGTTTAATAATATGAGTTTTCACAAATTATTATTTGTTTTAGACTTTCTATATTAGATATTGTTTTTTCTAAAAATCTTCACTTTCCAACTACATATTATAAGTATAATTTCGGACTATTATTTCCGGAGTTTCATTTTCGACCTGGATAAGCATTTTTCTTTTTTTCTACTTTATTCAATAATAAAATTCTTTCAAAACTTATATTTAATCTTTTTTCATAATTCCTAACATGGAGATAGAGATAGTTAATGGAGATAGAGATAGTTAATTACTTAAAATAAACCAAATTAAGATACTTTGAACATTGAGTATTTAAGTGCTGTTAAGTGACATCAATATAGATAAGACCTAAATTATATTAAAGAGTAATTAAGTATTCGTGTATACACTGAGTTTAATCGAAATCGTTAGAGCCGTTTCCGAGGTAATAACACATAAAAATGTGTTACTTCGATGATATAAAGTGCCACTTCTGGTTAGCCGATTCTGACAAAAAAGTTTAAATAACTTTTCAAGTATATAAAAACTTTAAATATGCAATTTCACTTTCGTACGACTTTTCGTTTTTGAGCTAGGCTGATAACATACACACAGACCATGTGAGACATGGTTATATTTGGACTCGGGCAACTTCAAAACATGCATTTCTATTGAAAACTCAGATCCGAAAATTTTCACGAGCGCAATGATTTCTGAATTACAAATGTTCACTTACCCTTTAAAAAAAAATCTAGTTCATTCCCTCTGGGTTAAGAAACGGCACTTTCTTGTCAAGTAAGGAACCCAATTTTAAATTGTAGTAGTATTTTTTTTTAATTTACTATCATGATTATTTGACAAACATATTTATTATAATGACTGTACCATTACAGCCTATGAAGGGTCTTGGGTTCAGTACTTTGTAAGGAAAAACTGCTTTAAAGTCAAAGGTCTTGCACGTCAAGGTCCAAGATTCGGACCAATGATCAATTTATACAGGCAGGGTGTGCCCTGGTATATATATATATATATATATATATATATATATATATATATATATATATATATATATATATATAATATCATCTCAAGTTACCTGAATAGGGTTCCTTGCAGCAAGGATAGTATTCTTCATTTCTTGTTGCAGGCACTGCAAGGATGTCCCATTCCACCGACAAGTAGAACTCAGTAAGGTCGATCCCAACCTCAACAAGATTGTTGCCTGAGACCTGGTCCATGTGTTTCAAGTCAACCTGTAGCAATAACACAATTTAATTTAAAATCGAATATAATGTTTTCTAAATTTAATATTTAAAAAAATATATCTTACACAAACATCGACTCCCATGTTAGCTCAAGGCCTTATGTTACCCAACAGTTGCTAACTTCCAAATGACTGCACTTTATTATAGATTATAATGGACCGCGCAAGCGTAAAAAGCAGAAAAAAAACTATTGATTCGTACCATAAATAAACTTTTCCTCATGCACCGATAAACCAGGAAAACCAGACGAAACATTCAGTACGGTAACATTATTTCGCAACATTAACCAAAACGAAATTGTTGATAATCTACGAAAACAACTAACCAAAAAGTCTAAAAATGTATTTTTAATTCATGAAATAATTATTAATTAATTATAAACATGTTTCCGATTAGAAAAAATATATATATATTTTCTATCACTCTCTTGCTTCCAATGACGTAATACTCGAGAGAAATTATTTTACACTAGTTACAATAAAAAAGTTTAGTGCCATTTGATACATAATTATTTTGAAGGACGAAATAACAGTTTATACTAAAATTTTCGCATTTTTTTTATTTTTTATTCTGGTATTGAGCTGTGCTGAAATGATCTCATGATTATTTATCTTTCAAGGTGCAATATCAAAAAGATATATTTCTTTATAATAACGAATTGCATTCAGAATAATACATTATTTTTTATCTGAAATACTGATTAATATGGAATCATAAAGTAATGATTATTTATTTTATTTTTTTATAAAGATACAATCAGTCCAGTGATTAATAAATAGACTACTATGTCTCCTTAACAGTAAAAATAATACTAGTAATAATAATAAAGTTATTTTATTTATTCATGATATAAATCAATAAAAAGATTATTTTAGAAAAATCTGAGAATCCGGAATCACTAAATTTTTTTATACGTGTTTTATACAGTCACCTATAAAATTCTCTCTCTATATATATATTTTTTTTTGAGCTTCCATATCTTTAAATATGTTCATTAAATTTGAAATATAATTTTTAAATTGTTATAAAATTAAATTTGCTACTCTCTTCAATAATTATAATTATAAAATATTATATATGAACAATCAATTATAAATTCGACCGAAGAAAAATTAAATTCGACTTCACAACGACATTTTCATTTCCTAATTTAATTTTTTGTTTTATTTATGATGAATAGAGGATCGGTTCCAAAAAAGAATAATAGTAAAATATTTTTTTTGGAGAAAAGATTTATTCTTATGTATGTTTGTCAATTTATATATTTTTATTTTTAATAGAACAAAAATATATTTTTAAAAAATACGTTATCTACATTTTAAAATTGCATTTATTGCCTTTTATAAGGAATATATTTAATTTTAAATTTTAAAAAAACATGTAATAACTCCATTATATTTTTTAAATAAAAAATTTAATTATTTAATAGTTAATGAATAGGACTCTTTTCCTAACCCAAAAAAATTTTTTTTTAAATAACATTTTTATTAATAACGAAAACTTTTAATATTTTACTTCACTTTTTTTTTTTTTTATCAGTAACCTTTCAGCCATATTTTGACCATTTTCAACCATAAAATTTGTATACTGTGTACAACAAAAATCCTAAATTTCTTATTTTATAATAAAAAATATTTAATTAAAGAATTCGGTATCTATTTTTGGGAAAAACAAAAGGGTCTTATCTATTAAATATTAATTAATTAACATTTGGAAGGCCCACGAGTTATTTATTATAAATTTTATTAGGAAAAATTAATAAAGTCTTCATATTATTTTTATTATGGCTTATTAGCTTGATGTTTTGGGGCTTCTTTTTTTTTCTTTTTTTTTTTTTTTTTTTTGTCAATTATCAAAAGCTTATTATTTAATCATTTTATTTCCATATTATTGTAGAGCGTTGTACACATTATCATTATTTTTATAAAATGTTTTTTTTAATGATTGTGTACTGCAATAGAATTTAGTAAAATCCATTTAATGTTTTTCCTTACATTCTTGTGCATCCTAACACAAAACTGAACTGAATTACAAATGACAGCTTTTAATAATAATGAGAATAATTAATATAAATCAGTAAAAAAAAACTCACCAAGAGACAGACAAAAAACGTTATAATACGAAAAATTCCAACCAAACAATAAAAATCCGTCAACGTTTCAATCCAGACGTCATTAGAATATAAAATTAAATAAAAGAATTCAAACTACTATAGAATAATAAAAATAATATGTAGATCTGATTAAGTCTTCCTAATAATACACATCCTTAAGAACATTGACAAAATATAAATTTTCTTATATAAATATTGTTATTTTATTTCTACGCATCGTTGTGCAATATTGTGATCCCTTTGCTCATCTGCTTTCATTAATATTTTTGTAAGCTATGTATATATTTTTATGTTTTAACATAGTCAATCTCTTTTTTTTTTTTACTTTTCATATTTTTTCTTTTCTGGAGGGTTTGCTTTTTCTTTCTATAAATATATAATGTTTTTTTTCCATTTGCACTATAAGTATTCTTGAGGAAATTTTATTTTATTTTTCAGTTGTTTACATACTGTTATTTAAATAATTTTATATATTGTTTGAATCTTTAATAAGTTAGTTTATGGTCAGATATGTATTTTTTTCGTTTGTATTGGTTCATTATTGTTATTCTATGGGGACTTTGTCCCAGAATAAGGTTTATTTTCTATTTTATTCTGTATATATATGTACTCCATGTATGATATATATATATATATCCTTAAGAACATTGACAAAATATAAAAGACATAAAGAAACCAAATTTTTTATAATCTACGAAAGCAACTAATCAAACAGTCTAAAAAAACTATTTTTAATTTATAAAATAATTATTAATTAATATTAAACATGTTTTCGATCAGAAAAAAAAATTCAATCACTATGCTCTCTCGCTTCCAGTGTCGCAATACTTGAGAGTAATTATTTTTCACTAGTTACAATAAAAAAGTTTAATGCCTTTTTAAACATTTTATATATAATTATTTTGAAGGACGAAGTAACAGTTTATACTAAAATTTTCGCCTTTTTTTAATTATTTTTTTTTATTCTGGTATTGAGCTGAAATGATCTCAGAATAATTGCATTCAGAATAATACATTGTTTTTTATCTGAAATACTGATTAATATGGAATCATAAATCAACAATTAGAAAATTTTATTTTTCAGTTGTTTACATACTATTGTTTAAATTATTTTTAGAATCTTTATTAAGTTATTTTATTGTCAGATATGTATTTTTTCGTTTGTATTTGTTCATTATTGTTATTTTAAGAGAACTTATTGTCCCAGAATAAAGTTTATTTTCTATTATATTCTGTATCTATATATATACTCCATATATGACATATCCTTAAGAACATTGACAAAATATTAATTTTTTGGACAGGAAGGAAATACTTGAATAACACTAATGTTATTTTAACCCCATCGTATTTGAATAGCAGCATTTTTTTTTTTTTTTTGTAGTAAAAAACAAGTTAAAAACACATATATTTATATTTATAAATGCATATACATACTTATATTTCAAGATAATAATGGGATTAAACTAACCCCTCCTTCTAGATATGCCTTGTTCCAACGTCTCCCCCTCACCTAGCCAGGCAGCGTCCATCCATGCAATGATGCACCCGGGAATCGTCGGGGACCAAAACGCATACGCCGAAGGAAATGATAAATCATTACAAGACTTTTGCTAACGGTAGGTTACCTAGGTGATGCATGAGCTTAAATGGAGCCTGCCCCGCCTACCCAATCAATATCAAACTGGCACTTGCAATACATCTATATGCATTCTTTTATATACTTTATTGACTGCCTGGATTCAATATGTTGAAAATCATACTTAAAGTTGCTCTCAGTGCGAAAAAGTGAACTTAAAAAAAAAAAAAAAGATTGCTGTAAACTTTAGAAAATTTCACTCAACCAAGACGAATCCCAAAAATATTACTTTTAATCTCCGATAAGAAATTTCCCTCCTGCTTACCCTGACAATGATTAAATTCCTCAAACAGATAAAATATAACAGCTTGGACAAGAGGTTCCTATCACCTCTCGATCCATGTTCACATCTCCCTCCCTTCCAAAAAAAAGGTTATTACTTACTTGCTTCTTATATGTCCACTTTCATCTATATACTGATTGAGGATGTCTTGTATTAATTATTTATAAAATTTTAAATTGGTCTATAATCGTCTTATCTTTTTGTATACATTCGAGGAATTGCTGTGTGTTATATATGTGTGCGATGTTGTATTGAGTTCCTGGCATTAGAGAATTTAAAAAGAAAAAAGGAATTTTTTTTTTATCTTGAGGAATTGTTTATTATGTCTGTTGTTTAATATAGTTTATTGTTTATAATTTATAAGAGTATTGTTATGAAGAGGGAGAAAAAAAATAAAGGAAAGATATGTCTCATATATATATAGAAAATATAGAAAAATATAATATATAAATTAATGTCCGTATGGATTGATAAGTATGCTGTGTACGAAGCAACCCTATGTAGTAGGGCAGCATTACCTTTAATAAAGTATTTCTCTCTGTCCTAGCGAAAGTAGAATTAGAAAACTCGTAGATTATGCAGAAGTACACTTGTGGTATTTGTGGTAGTATTGTTCCCTCGTTCCCTGGATTGAAATTTTTCGCTCCAAAAAATCACAATCCTATCAAAAATTCAAAACCTCATCAAAAAGCACATTCCGCCAAAAAAAAACCTTTTGGGCACCCCTGACTTGGTCTGAGGGGAGAATCGCTTGGGGCCCACATATCAAAAATCAAAACAGAAAAAAAAACGTTGAACCTCAAAATACGACTATTATACTCACTTCTTTCAAAGTATTCAAAATGTAAACTAAGACAGAAACTGAACGCTTACGTTTACCTTCTTAAGCCCACTTAAACCTATGCTTAACAGTTTTACACGACAGGCAAAAAAGACCCACATATATAAAATAAAAACTTTCAGAACTATAACTAAAGAACCATGGTAAGTCAGAAACAGTTAGCGACCACACAAGGACACACTACGGAACATTTCACGATAACTTAAGCGGACATATTAATACTCTCATACAAGCTTTGATCACAATTATCATGCCATATAATATCCTCGGGAGGCTCAAAAGAAGCTGGATGTGAGACCTCTTCACATTGCTATTAATAATAAATTCAAAACAAGAAGGAATGCCACTGGGCACTCCTCTCCTTCACGCATGTCAATGTCATGAACTACTGCATACTACTACTGCTTTAGTCATACTCATTGATTTTTTGCATTTCTGAAGGATGTGAATGGAGAAATAAAGTTTTTAAAATAAATCTCTCGTCACTCTACCCAAAAACGTTCCTTTTCGTTAATTATTCGTAAACAGATTTTTGATAAAACCTACGATGTATGTAAAAGACAACTTGATAAGTATATTATGTGCCCTCTCCCACAAACAAGAATACCCCTTGATTTTTCTGTAAAAAATATAACGCTTTAAAAATACCTACCCATAAACATGAGTCATAGAATTAAATTTTAGTCAGTTTTAAAGCCATGCACATGAAAAATTACATTTTTCGAGGCTTTTTAACAATTTATGAAGAAGCGGCCCATTAATTCAACAAACGGATCGAAACTAACAAGATGAATTGTAATTGGTATTGTATGAAAAATAGCTAGATATATATTAATGAGCATCATTAATATATAAAAAAATCTGCAGAGCTCTGTTCTATATGTCTCTAAGATTATTTCTGCCAATCCAAGTTTGAAAATAACATATGTGCATATGTGGATGGGGAATAGTCAGAATGTCGATGTACTGATAACGTGCCTATCGCTGTTACTTTATTTGTACGTTGAAAGGGTATGGGTTAAGAGGGGAACTGCTACATCTAGATCTACACTGAACACACCAATGAAGGACACATACGTATCATCAGCGTATTTAGGATAGGGATTGAGACACCGTCAGGCTAAAAGCAAGGATGAGTAGTCAAAAGTATTATTTACTTTGAATGTTCTGTAAGTGATATATGGAGAGTGTAGTAGAACAAGATTAACGGAAAGAAGAAGTTGTAATTCGCAAAGCTCTTTCAAGTTTCATATTCGATCAAGCCTGTTCGTTACGATCTTGACTGATGAGAATGATATAAGCTAAATAATTAAGCAAAACTATCCCACTTTTTTTTTTAAGCAACTTCATAATCTTAAGTAAATATATTGAGATAGCAACCCGAAATTAATTTACAGATATTCATATTGCTTCCACCTTAGGAAGTTGAGAAATTAAAAAAATATGATGACTAAGATTCGAATTACGCAAAATACTTTAATGCCTTTAGCAAATCCAATATTCTTGTTTGTAGCTTCTTCTTGATCATTTAGTGTTTTAAAAAATTTACTATATATCCTATTCGATTTTCCAATGCCCTAGGATTCTAGTGCTCTTTTCGAAAATATTAGGTACATGTCAAGAATATTACAATAATTCACTTTTGTATGAAAATCACCTCGAAGAAGCTGTCTTGGATTGATTTGAATAGGAGTTTTATTATATAATCTATCAGTATTGTCACCTATTATCATGTTGAAGATGTCATTCATCATTCATTAGCTCCACAGCCCCTATAGGGCTTTGGTTTCCAATATTATCCATCTCTTCACTCCAATCCGGCACGGGTCTGACTCCACATCATCAGCCATCTCGCATGTGTCCCTTAGTTCACCTTCCTTATGCTAATTGGCATAGCAGCCTTCTTGGTAAGCGACCTGTTGACAGTCCTTCCGCATGAACAAACCAAATTCTAGTCATCTTGATAAATGTCATAATATTTTTTTATTGTATCGTGATTGTGTTCCTCTAAAAACCAGACAGCTCCTTGTAACCTCCCTTGTATTCTCCCACTTCGACTACGGCTGTTATTTGTATGGAGAGCTATCTGCCAGGCTAGAAATAAGACTCATGAATTGTTTCATAATATACATTTTTTTTTCCCCCAGGATTCATATGTTTCATTCTGATACACCGAGTTGAAGTGGCTTTATCCTACTTCCCAACGACAATTTCTCCTTGGAGTTTTCCTTTTCAAAGTCTTCAGAACCAAATACCCTCCCTACTTCCTGGAACTGCTAACTACTTTCCTCTATCCACTCTCTTAATACCAGGTCTCAACCTATAAACTTATATATCCCCTCCCATAAAACTTCTTCCTTCAGCAAGTCCTTCGTCGTTCATGCCGCTTCCTTTTGAAACTCACTTTCTACCTCCAAACGTCTATCCTCTTCCACAAATTCCTTCAAACAACTCCTGTTCCACCATCTATCCATTCCACATTCAAACTTCCGCAAACATGTAAAATTACTTGCATCTGTACACTGTTTAATTTCAATCTAGTGCACCATTGCAATAACAATTAACAGTAAATTAGTTTGTATTTTTATTATTATGTCAGACTAAGACCCATCAATTTGTAACTCTGTTATCATTCTTAGGGGACAGTAGCCCCAGAATAAAATCATTTTTTCATTTTATTTCAAATATTTGGTTCACCATACATTTACTGGAACATATATCATTCGGAGTAACTTATAGAGGTGTTACTGCCGTTTATTTTTATTTTTATTTTTAAACATTAAAGTGCAACTCTGCTGATAAGTTAAGTTACCTCGCTATTATCTGCTTGATTAAAAAAAAATGTCCTAAGGATTAGAAGTTACTCTTCAACATGACTTCCATCCTTTCCTCGCTAATTTTAATTAATTTATCAAATTTAATACATCAATAGAAAATTTATTCAGATTGGCATTACCTGGAATCCGTTGTAAGTCCAGCTCCCGAACTTCATGGTGCAGCTCTGCTCGTCGAAAGGGAAGTAGAGGACGTTGATCTCGCAAGAGGATTTGTAGATGGCAGGAGGCCTCCAGATCACTTCCCCGGTGTACTTGAGCGTTGCCTTCGTCATGAGGGTCACTTCGTAGTTCCCGTCCGCGCTGTAGAAGAAATAAAACATCTTACATTAGCATATCTTTGGGCGAAACTTCGCTATAAGCACGACCGGGTTCCGCAAGAAGGGCCAAACTGCATTTCATGTGTTTTTAAGATTCTAACCGTTGTTATTATATTCTGTTATGATGAATTATCTTAAAAATTTTTATTTATTTATTTTTTATTTTAATGAAATTTCAACTGTATTACATGAAAAATACAACAAGTAAATGTGACATTAGTAACATGACATGTACAACATGAAGAGAAACTACCCATTGGTAGAACTCAAATTAAAGTTCTATACTAGAAGGTCCCGAGGCCATCTTCTTTTCAGATGCTTCTCAAGCACCGAGGAGAAAGCAAGGTTTGAAACGAGAGGGTTCGGATCTTAAAAGTAAATCTTTTTCAAAGAATTAAAAAAAATATATTGACCCATAAACAAAAATGCAGATTTAGCCTTCTTGCGCAATATGCCCAATATTACATTAAATGAATCTGCCTAAAAATTTAAAAAAATATATATATATTTTTACATTCTTTAATAATATATCTCTTTTTTTTAATCAACGTCATAGTCTTAAGTAAATATAGTGAGATAGCAATCCGAAATTAATTTACCAATTTATACATTGCTTCCACCTTAGGAAGTTGAGAAATTAAAAAAAATATGACTAAGATTCGGACTACAAAAAATACTTTAATGCTTATAGCAAATCTAATATTCTTTTTTATAGCTTCTTCTTGATCATTTAGTATTTTAAAACATTTTCTAATGCTCTAGGATTCTAGTGCCCTTTTCGAAACTATTAGGTGCATGTCAAGAATGTTACAATAATTCACTTTTGTATGAAAATCACCTCGAAGAAGCAATCTTGGATAGATTTGAATAGGAGTTTATTTTACGTAAGAATCTATTATTACTAGATATCATGGCCATTACTAGTTTAGTTGACCTCACGTTGCTTTAAGTCGATCATTCTTCAACTCCTGAGCTCTTAGGCAATTAGTAAAATTCGGTTACTCTACTAACGATATGTTTATTAACCAAATCAAGGCTCTATGGAAAAAATGATTTTTTTAAATTGTTGAATTTGTAGAGACGCTGATAGATCTATTCCATTCCTTTTCCTCACACATTCCTAGTATCTTCAAGTACCTTAGACGTCTTGGATTGATGTATTCAATGAGAAGTCCTTTTATTTTTTATTGTACATATTTTAGAAACGACTCTCGACGGACGGTTTTATATCGTGCCAATAAAAGCTTATGTTTTATAAGAAATGAAATTTTGTTTCCACTCACTCCTGACAGAAGTACCGACAACCAACTAGTGTTGTGTCGAGAAGTAGAAATTAGTGTAAGTCGTTGGTAGGCGTGAGATGAGTTCCCAGTGGCATCCTTTCCTGCCTTGATTTTAATATTTCTAAAGAAGTAATATAAGTATGAGTAAAGCAGATCACGCACCCAGCTTTTTTTTTTAGCCTCCGTCGGTTTATCAGGCATGTTGGTTGTGGCCATGCCTCGAATCAGTGAGTTGGTATGTCCGTGTAAGTTATTTTGAACTCTTTCAAAATTTGTTCGTTAACTGTTGGAATCTGTAGGTCTTTATTTATAGTAATGTTACTGACGTACCAGGGAGCGTTAGTTATAGTCCTGAAAGTTTTTCTTGAAATGTCTGTAGTTTGCGTCTTTTTGCCTGTCCCCTATGCCTACGAAACGTTAGAAAATAAAAATATTAAATTTCTTTTTAGTAAAGCTATCTATCTATCCATCTATACCTTTGTCAATTAACTATATATTATGTAATTAAACTATGTATTTATTACATATATCTTATCCACCATTCTTCATACGTGGCCTAATCTCATAGTTTCTCATTTTTTTGTCCTGTTCCATCACTTATTCTTAATCCTATATCTAAAAAAAACTATTGATAGACTCGGTTCCATCTAAAATCCGTTACCGAACATATTAGTTTATTTATTTACTATCATATTATATTTATATTTGCCTCTCTCTTATATATGACATTTTGGTCTTGAAATATATTTGTTGCTTTCCATCAATGCAGTTTTATTTTCCAGTCCAAATTGCTTTTACTTTAATACATCAAATATTACAAACTCCAATGTCTACACAGTTATTTATTCAATAAACTCAATTGTAGGAAGGAATATTTGTATTTAATCATATTTATTTTTATTAAATATAATTATTTTTTGTTATGTTTGTCGTCCTCTCTCATCATCAATATGTATCATTCCAGATTTTGAGCTCCTTTAATGAAGATGCCTTCATCAAATAATAATTTCTGTAAGTAAAATATATGTACCATTATTTATTTTAGTTCTTACTTATGTGTATATATATATTTTTTTACTTTTGTTCTTTGTTTCTTATTCTTTTGTTATTACTTTATTTATTTATGTTTCTGTAGCTACGGTATGAATGTACTCTCTGAACTCTATTATAAATGTTCTTAACTGAGGCAGATTGTAATATTTCTCAATAAAATGTTAATAAAAAAAAAATAAAGTTCTTACTTAAATAGGTACGATTCGTATTTTTATCTAATTTTAACTTAATTCGGCACGCCATATTTTTCTTGATACTTCATCAAAACCGAGGAATGAACCATCATTTTGAACATCTAAAACTTTATTAAAAATAAAATGTTTTATTTGTGTATAACTCAAAAAGTATATAATTTATGGTTTATTATATCTGTGATAAAATGGTTTCTAAACTCCCTTCATTGCTCTATTTCGTTTGTTTTTTTAGGAACCATATTAATTCATCTGAATTAGAAGTAGATTTATAGTTTTCTTATAGCAAAATAATACAAATTTTCAGGCTCAAAGCAAACAGTATTAGGACAATCCTATGGATTGAATTGCATATTTTTATTAAACATTTCTAATATATACAAAAACTAAAATTTATATATTGTATTTAAAAAGTGATTACATACTTATTATACAAGACAATATCTGGTAGCCAGATGTGCTCTGATGGTACGTACAGCATCTCCACTCCACCGTATTCTTCAGGATCCCATCGCAATTTGTAATCAACCCATTTCTGTAATAATAAAAATAATTAAGTAATAAAACTTAAAATTATCCCTTGTGTTAAATATTACTAATTAATATTAATATACTACAAGTATCTTGATTTTTATATAATAAAGATTTTTTTTTTCAATCTACCATTTAAATTATATCGACAAAAAATATTGAAATATCGGACTTCTAAAATAGTTTTAGCAACGGATCGAAGCAAAAAAAAAATATTACTATGGATGGAGACTGGAATAACGTATGTAAAAAAAAAAAAATTATAAATTGATTTTATTAAAATTTCATATACTATCATTGGGTCCTTTACAATATAATTTGAGCTATTTAAAATTTAATATTATCGAAATAATATCGGTTTCTGGAAATGAATGTACTAAAATAAATGTAGATATTTGTCAGGGAGGCAACCTGACTTTTGCCTCACCTTCATTCAATCTCTTGAATAAATATAGTTCTTTCTAAATGTGAAATCATTTTATAGTCAAACGATCAAAAAAGCAGAAATATATATTTAATTTAAAAATAAAATATATCTGAAAGTTGCAACTCCCTAAATTCTAGCGCCTTGAGTAAGTGTTTTGTTCATCCTGTATTAAGTTAAAATGGGTTTATATTTAAATATATATATACATATATTATTGAGAGTATCGATAGGAAATTCAAATATCTAATAAAATAAACAAAATAAAAAAATATTTATACAAAAAATATCAAAGCATACCTGTTCAACCCACAGGTTTGTTGTCATTACTTGATTTTTCAAGTTCTGAAAAAAATAAATACAACATAAATTAGTTACTTATAAAACGTATCTTTTCTTTTTTTTTTTTAACTACTTCATTATCATACAGTAAAATAATAATTTATTTTAATATAAGGCATTGGTTTTGGTTCATTTTTCTCTCTTATTATTAAAAAAGATACTATTAAAAATTTGTCTAAATAATTGGAGTGGGAAAGCTCAGTGATAGGGCTCTAAGCTTCCAATGCTCAAAGTCCCATATTCGATTCCCGACTTATGGCAGATAAATTATTTGTTTCGTTGGCTGTGGATCGACACTGGGGTCAGGAGACCCTCCTGTGGCTCACCCAGCCTCAATAAATTGTGTAACCTTAATTAAATAATTAATTAAGGCGAAAAACCTGGCGGCAGAGTGTGATCTCAGTCAAATCACCCTCTTGCACAACCGTTGACCAAAAAAACAGTGCTTACCCTAGATAGTACTGAACCCAAGACCGTTCATGGGTTGTTGTGGCACAGGTTTTTTAATGTCTAAATAATTACAAGTTTCATATAAGCATATGAATTGTACCAACTTTATAAGAACATTTCATATGTTTTTCCAGTAAAAGATAATTGAAAATTCAGATAATTTTTTTTATTATTTCATGTATCTAAATAATACATATATCAAGAGAGCTGTAAACTCTGTGATCGATTCCTCCAGTGGCAGAAGATTTATTGTATGTTATATAACCCGCGGATGATTCAGTGGCCGACAGAAACTCTTCGGGTGAAAAACGTGTCCAATGTGAAAAACTTATCCAAAATCATATGGTATGTACGTTGGTCAGTACACAGCACATCTTTACCTAATACTGAAATCACCTAAACCACATAAAGGCAATTATGTACACTAAATCTTGCCATCGTAAATATGTCAATAAGATAAATAATGACAATATTTGGTATTTGGATTTTTATCTGGACGAAGAACAGATATGGATACCCACATTAAGCTAAAATAATATTGTATTTTATCCGGGTTATACACGTTGAAAATTATCTTTTACTAACAAACTAACTTCATATACAGATTTGTTAAACCATTACGGACTTTCTGTATAGAACTGTGACGTTCTGCTCAAAATTTCAACAACAGTCAGATAACTCGTACAACTCACCATACAAAAGATATGTTTGTTGAGCTAATTTGTATCCTGTGGGGTTTTGCTCAAGTAGTCGACAAAATTTTCAATAATGCTAGGTTTGTGGCTATCCGCAGTTCAGAGGCAAGTATGGAGTTCCTGAAAGGCATTTATGTGTATTCACTGCATTTAATAGATTTCTACTATATATTTTTCTATTTATATAGGTTCCAGAAAGGGACCAACCTATTTAAAAATTTAATATAAGAATGGCTTGATATCACATCTCCCACCTACTATGTGCTCGAGTGAGTTATAGTTACTATCAAGTTTACTAATTGGTGTAAATGGTAGCATGCATGAAAAATCCTTTAAAATATAATCAAAAAATGGTCTATTTGTGATTTCAACGTCATAAATACATATTGGGGAGTGGGGTAGCTCAGTAGGGTACTGAGCTTCCCATGCTAAATTTCCCCCTTCGAATCCCGGCTCATGAGTGAAAAATTATTTATTCTGTTTGATTGGGCGATCCTGAGTAAGTAGACCCTGCTGGGGCACACCCAGCCTCTAATTGGGTACCCTTAATAATTAATTAAGTTGAAAAAACCTGGCAGTTGAGCGTGATCTCGGTCAAATCACCTCCTTGCACAACCGTAGACCAAGAAACAGTGCTTTTCCTGAATAGTACTGAACTGAAGACCCTTCATGGGTAGTAGTGGTACAGGTATTAAATACATATTGAATATTGCATTGAGTTTCGATTAGATTTAATTGATTGCCAAGACAGATTTACAGGAGTACGTTTGGAATGACTTTTACGACTTAACTGATTGTGGAGATATAATGGAATTGTCAGATACTTTCTTGTGGTCTCTTGGACAGCTGATATCATCTCGATGAACCCTCTACAAGAATGTCTCGTCCGTCTTCGAAGCTAATCTGTTCTTCCTCTTGTATTAGGCTCCGTTTCCAAATGCCTCTTCCAAGTCCAACACGCCTCACCAATGGACAACCTCTATGCTAACTTAACTTCCGTTCCTTCTCCAAGGAAGTCCTCTACCGGACTACTTTTTTCAGTTCAAAAAACTTTTCATCTCAATTTCCAACCCTCTTCTTACTCTAGACATTGCTATTGCTCAAGGTTTGGTTGATGGATCACTTCTACTTCTCTTATTCTGTCAAATTTGGGAAGGGGTATTGGATTCTTTTCATTTTTTAAATATTCCGTATTAATCTCTCTTCCATATTACCTCTTAAGCGGATTGCTGGCCAAAAAATATAAATGAGCGGCAAGACCCAGCAGAGAAGAGAAGTACCAATACTCTGTCCCAAGTCGATCTGGAATATTTTGGGTTGGAATGTTTCAATTCCCAAATCTTCACCGGATACCTAACAAGATATAGGATATCCAATAAATATTAATATGTGGGTATGACTGTTGAACGCACCCGCTAACTACTCCTTAAAATATATAATGTATTACTCACCATTTCCAGTAGCTGGGACATCTTAAGCCTGAGGTAGACGGTGAGTGTGTCCGTGTTGTTCGGTACAGGCCTGATGAGCCTGTTGTAGTTGGACAAGAGATCATCGTAGAGCCGCTTCGCCTCGGGATTAGCTTCGATCTGCTTCATCCCTAAGCCCCAAGATAATAAAAAATAAAGTCACTAAAAAAAGATTAATAACTTTAAATTAAAAATATATATAATAAAGTCCTCAATAAAGTCAAAGTCAACTTTCACTCAAAAGAGAACCTCGTTTCCCAGAGGCAAACTTTGACTTTCCAATATTAGTTGATTGACAAGTGCTTTTTTGGGCACCTGCCAGAGTCAAGTAAAATAATTTCTTGTTTGTCTGAAAAAAAAATAAAATAAAGAAGAAGCTAAGGAATGTTTTGTCTTTTTGGTTTATACCGTCGTAATTATTATAGTTATAAACTTCTCCGTTGGACATTTAGAATCTCTAGCTACTCATTTTTCTATTTAACACTTTAAAATTGAAAAATATTCATGGAGGTATAATCTCCATTAAAAAAAATGTGATAGACGAATAATTGTGAGACAGAACCATAAAGGGCTTAACTAATCCCCTCTGAAATATTCCTCTTTTTATGGGAATGTTCCCTGAGACAACAGTACAATATTTTTAATTGGATGTACCAATCATACTTCCCAGAGCTTCATAAGTCTTTGCAATAGTTCTATTACTTTTTGATCGACCTAATAAATCTTAAGAACTACAATCAACCAGTCATGAGGGACTGAGTCCAATGCTTTCTTATAGTCAATCCACGAAAGAGATATATTGCGCGCCTTTTTTGATACTTGATAAGCTATGAATGAATCGACTACAAGAAGCTATTATTATTATAGATGTTGTTGTAAATGTGTATATAAGCTATTAGTTTGTTTTAATTATTTTTATTTCACTTTACTTTCATAATCGATTAAATTTAGTAGGTAATTTATACTTGTTTTTCTGTTATATCTATTTGTATATTTTTTTAAAGAGGCGTCACGTAATAAATAAAGTATTATGAATATTTTTCAGAGTGATGTGGGTGTTTAAAAATCCAATAATGGACGTTCATAAGATTTACTTTTCTTTACAATTATATGTAGGTCACAAAAATGATTATTTTGCATTACGTTTATAGTCATTCTAAACTGCCAACAAAGACGAACCAAAGGGATTTGTCAGGTTTTCGATAACTTTATCCTGTTGAGAGATAAACATTTTGAAACAGTAGGATATCGAGTGTATGCTCTTTGTCTTACGTTGCTCTCTCTCTCTCTCTCTCTCTCTATATATATATATATATATATATATATATATATATATATATATATATAGAACTTTTATACGTTATATCCCTTCCCATAGAACTAAGACGTTTGAATATTCCTTTATTTCCCGATCCACAGCCTTCTGGAATTCCTTGCCATCTGAAATCCGTCATGCCTCTTCCTTGTCCTCATTTAAATATCATCTTTACCAATTCCTTCTCACATCCCAAAATGACGTTATACAATAAAATAAATATTGTGAAATAGATTTTGACTGAGGTGAATGATTGATAAAATTTATTGTCTTAATTTTAAAAATCAACCCATGCTTATTTTATTTTATTTTTATCTTCATTTAAATAATGTTTTTTTTTTATTTCGTTTTTTCTCAAAATTTTATTTTATTTTTACTTGTTTTAATTTAATTTCACTGAAGATACTGTATATATTCTTTAATATTGATTAATGTAATTTTTGGCCAGATGTAGTTTTAATTTTTTTGTTCATATCTGTTATTCATAAGGGACCTTGTCCCAGAATAAAGTTTACTTTCTATCTATCTATCTATCTTCTATATATATATATATATATATATATATATATATATATATATATCGCGAACGTTGTGATTTTCTAGTTAACCATAAAAGTCAAATTGTTAAAGTAATTAAAGTTGGATGAATTTCGTTTTTGTTCCTTTTTTTAACTAACACATTCGTAAATGTTCAATAGCTTTTTACCAAATGGTACTAGTACAATTGCAGTTCAAACTAGAAAATTATGACAGAGAAATAGTTTATACAATTTAAAGACCACCAAATTTTTAATTATTATAAATAAACCAGTTAATCCATGCGAATAATTCGCATAGCATATCAGTCATTAAACAAATATCAAGATAATATACAAATAAGTTAATACAATTTATTATGAGATGAAAGAGGTAATTTTCTTTCCCTCGGTAGATTACAATAATTTCTTTTAAAAAAAAATCCTTAAAAAAATTTAAAAAATCCTTAATGTTTTAGATCTGGCTCTATCCAGATACCTATCCTTCCATGATAAACTTCAGAATCATCCCAACCCTCTCGTTTCTAACCTTGCTTCCTCTTCAATTCCTGATAACCCTCCGAGGCGTCTGAAAAGAAGATGGCCCCGTGATCTCCTAATGTAGACATATCATTAGAGTGCTACCATTGAGTAGTTTCTCAACAAGTGTTTTCACGTCCTTATATCACTATGTTTAAATTTACTAAATGTATTTCTTTAATTCAATTGTAAATATCATTAAGAAATATAAAACATATCTTTTTTTTTTTTGTCTTTTTGGAGAGAATTTAAGAATATTTCCAGCCATATATAATCATATATATATAATCATCACAAATGTAATCATCAATAAATTAAATAGTTTTTGAGTTCTACGCTAATAAAGTTTCAGTTTCTCCATAACTTCTTTTCCTGAAATTTCGCGGAGATATGCCCGTTTTCTCCACCTGAAGGAGAAAATGGTCTTAAATATTACGGCTCAATCATCGGTTTTTATGAAAAATTAACTAAGATGGAGCGTATAGATAAAACAAAATCCTTTGAGTAATAATATAAATTTAATATATACATGTATATATATATATATATATATATATATATATATATATATATATATATATATATATATATATCATGGCAATACAGAAAGTACCGGGTAATGTTCTGCTTTGGCATAAGGAACTCATCATCTAAATGATGAAATAAATACAAATAAAAAGCGACAATATCAAAAAATGGTTTTATGTGTATGTATTTCATATATTTATTTACAGACAAAATATGTTTGTTTTACTGATTTAAAGAAGAAAGAAAGAAAAAAAAAAGTAAAAGTATATTGTTTTGGGACGTAAGTCCCCTAAGAATAGTTATAATGAACAATAAAGTAACATTTGTCTGGCATTAGAAAACAAATAAGAATTAATTAAGTTACATAGTTAAATAAAAAATAAAATAAAATAAAGGAAAAGCACTAGTAAACATATAAAATTATAGATAAATATATATGACTGTTTTCACATGTTTGTACTTATAAGCAATAAAAATATCTGTAAGATAAGAGTAAAATGAGGATGACAGCTCTTAAAATAGTAGAATAAAATGTTATTCTTATATATACGGAAAATTTATCGTTGAGAAGATGGATAATTAAATGAGATTTATGATGAGGATTTGCGTATGTAGCTGTAAGTAGGAAATCTCAAAACAAGGTGCATGTATGAAAAAGGATTTTTCAAAGGAAGCAGTTTTATGAGAAAGAATAGATAGGTTTGTGGGTTTGAATCTTGCTTTGAAAGGATGGACAGAGGAGCAAGGAGTAAAAAAAGTCAAAAAGATATGAAGGATTTTTGGTTCGGAAAAGGAATACACCTAGGAAATATTGGAAAATTGAATAGACCCGCTTCAACTGGCCATACTAACTTAAACAATAGGCATAGATGAGTATAGATTATTGTATATGAGTGTATTAATTAAATGGTGAGTAGATTAATTACAAATCATTAACAGATTATATTTGTTATTACAGCGTTTAAAGGATAAACAACATGCCTATTTGGCACGTCCGCATGTCTCTTAAGAGGATACATAGATGGGTAGAGTTTGGATATTGGATTGAACAAGATATTGTTTAAAACTATGAACAAATTATCTGTTTAGTTGATAATTAATTATTAAATTACCTGCAGCGAGGCTAGAAACCGCTGCTAAGATGAGGAGACGAAGCATGTTCCGAGGCTACAGATCAGCTGGCAGCGGCAGGACCAATCGATGTTTCATTCGCTAACTCTCCGTCTGGCACCGCCACATGTCCTTGCAGAAGGAAATTGGTATTAATTAAACATGTAGAAGCTGTATCTGACAGTTCAAAGGATCGTTCAAAATTCATTTCGTTAAAAAAAAATATATGTTTAATCCGCAAAACTTGTTTCGAAGCCGACTTTCGAAGTATAAAGCATACAAGATGCATTGCATGGAAATGCGTAATCACCTTCAAGTGTCGAAGGCAGGATTAGACGAGGTAGAATTCGGTACACGACCTTTCATTAGCAGCAGAACACATTCTGGAGTATGAAAGTATGAAGATGATGTGGTCACCTTCCTATCGCTGGAGGATGTTGAAGAATACCCCGACTCAAATGGAAGGAATGAATGAAAAATATTTTGAATCTGGGACTAAAGTCTCCTAAGAACAACGACAAAGTTCAATAAATATGTACATTTGTCTGGCATGTAGAATATAGAATTGAATATAGGAGGTGGAGAGATAGTTGTTTGAAGGAATTTGAGGACGAGGATCAACGGGTGGCGATAGTTAAGGAGTTCTTAAAGGATGTAAGTGGTTTTATGGAAGTGGATATATAGATCAATAGCTTGATTGAGTCGATAGAAGAACGTAGAGTAAGGATTTCTATAAAGTAGAGAGGAATTTTGGTTCTGGACTTGCAAAAAGAAAACACCAAGAAGGAATTGTCATCAGAAAGTAGAAAAAAATTTTTACTCATCTCATGTAACCTAAAAGACCAAGACATAAATTGGTAAATCAAAACGCAAAATAATAAATATTTTATGTGAAATTGGTTGATTTGGAGAAAGCATACTTTGCTGTATGGAAATTGCCGTGGAAACCTTATCTGATTAATACCTAAAACAATATTAAAAAATAAATAAGTGACTTGGGAGATATGTTCAAAACAGAAGGCAACTTCGCTGTCATGGCTCCAAACAGAGAAGTGATGAGACAACAAACAATGGAAGCATGCTTTACGGCATTCTTAATTATATTTTCTATAATTGAATGAAGCTAGTCGACTGTTCTACATATCACTGGTTTTTCAGGTTTATCACTGGTGATAAATATTCAGGGCGGAGTCTTTTAAAAATTTGTTATTTGTGCCAACGTTTCAACCCAAACATGTGGGTCATCTTCAGGGCGTGGTTCGAGCTCTGAATGCTTTCAAGTACAAACACATTTGGTAGGTAAGTGGAAAGATCGGGGGAGGATTTCTCAGTTCAACTAAGAATTCATTTTTTTTTTTTTAAAAAGACTGCGTCCTGAATATTTATCACCCATTATGTTTTCTATAGTAGAAATAAACTTCTATGAAAAAGAATAACACACTGATACAAAGTGTAGTTTAACAGAATGTAATAAAAATATGCTATCAGTGGAAATGGTTTTAAAGGATGAGGTTTGAAATTTTTTTTTTTTTTTTATTAGAATATCAAAGATATGAATGGCCCTAGGCTAGACTGTTAGACGGGCTAGGCTGCCCAAAGTACGTCAAACGCTAAGAACACGAATGAAAAAGCTGGTTATCAGTAATAATAAAAATATTTTGGTTGAAAAACGATAATTTTTTATTCAGTCTTACATTCAGAATATTTTAGGGGAAAATTTGAAAAACTTGCTGTTGACTACTGATCCCTTGCGTTTTGAGGTTCCAAAATTACTTTAAGTCTTCTTTATCTGAACTTTTGGTCACAACTCTATCCAATATGTACATACACTTGTGAATTACATAATCCACCACTACACAAATCTTATGCTGACAGGTACGTAATTCTATCTATAATTGATAGCACAGGCGGATCTACGGGAGGGGGGGGGGAGCTTTCGGGCTGAAGCCCCCTTCCCCCCAAAAAAAATATTAAAATATAACCATGTTTTACAGAAAAAAAATATTAAAAACTATCTCTTAAAGTATTCTTGTTCGTGTAATTACATTTAATACGACTTCAAGAACCGCTTAAACACCATTTTATATAGGTAGTTAATTTCTTTCTTTTTTTTTCTAATTAATTATTGCTATATGTATATGAAAAAAATTCTTTCGGGCTGAAGCCCTCCCCTCCCCAAATTAAATTCTGGATCCGCTAGTGATTGATAGTAAGAAATACTGAATTTGTCATCTTTCTCGATCTTTCATCTCACCCCGCCTTCTCCTGATGTTTGTTGCACCTAAAAGCATTGACTAATATTGAAAGAACTTCGGTCTGAAAGGATTGAACACATTTAATGTGCGAAAATGTAGCTTCTCCCACAGTACAAATTCAAAACTCCATATATGTTTCAAAATGATCTTGTAAATTAATTGGTTCTTGTCAATTGAAAGGAATCAGTATTTACATCAAACTTTAAATACCCTTTTCAACCGGCAACCCTAGAATAAACCTAACGATCGGAAGAAACCTTACCTTAGACCCTTCTAGAACAAGATATCTTCGATCACTAGCTAAGACTGTGCGTATTAGGTTAACTAAAAGCCAATTATTTTTTCCGCAACTTTATTGTAATCTAATTATTTCGTCTTCGCATTAACGTGTAAAAAATAGCAAAAATATTCACACATCTTTATTTTTTTTTTAATTAAGATTCAGCATTTGGTATGTACAAAATGACATTTAATGAGCGTAGTTACATATACTTCTTCCATTAAAAAAGGTAGTCCATATGGAGATATTTAAGATCTTTTTCTTCAAGTAATCATTTTAACTATTGGTATATATTTTTTTCTTCGTTAACTAATTATTTTATATTTTTGGCACCAAAGAGTTATATTCAAAGACAAATTAAATTTTATTCTGAAAAAAAAATATCCCGTGATTTTTCTTGGGATTCAATTCAATAGGTCTGGAGAAATGGAGATTTTTGCCGACAAACATTGAAATTAGTAAAAAAAAACGCTGCAAATTATTTCACAATGGTTTATTATTTCCAAACAATTATACATCTAAAGTAACATTACCTTCCGAGTTACAAAGAAAAAAAAAACAAAAGGTGATTCCAATTATTGGACTAAACTGTTTTTCTTTAATCATTAGTAATATGCTAAAAAAAAAAATAGCATTAGTTCAGTAACATATTCAAAATTTAAAAACCAAACCAAGGATATAACATTTGGAGTAGAACATATAAAAAAAACCGGAGACCATATCTTTGCTCCTAATTGTCCGATTTTAACGATTTTTTTTTTTTTTTTTTTTTTTAGGAAATTTAAATACCTTTGAAACATCTCATCACAATATCAACAAAAAAGTAAAAACTTTTCGAGTTATTCGGAATTTAATTTTACCATCCCTCGTAACTTTTTTTCCAGCTTCTTTTCGTTGAAATATGTTATATAGATAAATTTAAAGGGCGTTGAGAAAATGACTTTAGCGAAGTTTCATTGAAATCTGTACATTCGTTTAGGAGTTACAGTCTATAGCAACGCAGGTTTTTCCGCCATTTTGAAAGTTAAAGGCGGAGAGTAATGTCGATGAAGGAGGATCATCCTCGGGTGACCCCTGATTTTATATCAAAATTTGAAAAAAAATCGGTCCAGTAGTTTCGGAGAAAATGCGCGTACGGCGTACGGCGGACGGACAAAAAAAATTGTATTCGTTTTTTCGAATTCTAAACCTCCTGAAACCTCAAATTTTGAGAGGGGGTTAAGTTTTTGAATTTTTTGGTCCATCACAATGGTTGTTTATTGAAAATAATAAACCAAAATTGATGATTTTCATTCGAAACGTCAAAATTCAATAAACAGATTCCTTTATTTCATGTTATTCTTGATAGCCACAACAATCTCCCACCACATAAAAATATAGCCAATTTTTTTATAACCCGCCAATCAGATGAGTGTATTAATTACGAGAAAGTTTCAGCGTTAATCCATTGATGGATTTCCGATGCTCATCTATAATCTCAGCGCTGAGCTTAGGAACTTGGTCGCTTTTATATCGGTGAGTTTATTAGGAACAGTCTGATGGATTTCCGATGCCCATCAATGATCTCATCGCAGAGTTTAGAAACTTGTTCTACCTCGTTTACCTGCGAGTTCTAGAAAAATAAACAACAAAAATTAATAGAAACATGCATTTGAAATTTAATAATAGTTTTCGAAATTCAAAATCGATCTGATGTATATTTAATTGAACCTAAAAAAAGCAATTTTTTTTTTTTATCATTGTTCATGCTAACGTGAAGATTCTTATTATTTTATTTTTTTTATTATAATCAATTTTCCTGAATAAAGAAGGTTTTAACTAAGTTTTTGAGTCAATTTGTTTAAATCATCAGTTGATATGATTTCTAAATCAAGTTTGGCTTTCGAATCTCGTAATTTGGTTAGCCTTGCACTTCCGCCATTTTCTTTTTCCTTTTTTTATACTAGTCCTTTTGGTTTCGGAAAAAAGGAATGTTCTTATTCGTTAATGAAGTTTTTGTTAGAATCATTAATATCAGTTATTATGTTTATGCATATTTCCGTTCAATCTTGTTTTTTACTTAATAAGGTTAGATACGGTATAATGGCGGCTGGATTAACTAATTTCAAAAGTTTTAATGCATGAATTGATTCCGAATCGATCGTTTAAATTTTTCAAAGTTTCTCCAGAAGTGAATGTGTGAGTTTCTCAGTTACACTCAATCGAATCCAGGTAAGAGAAATTATTTATTTCGAATTTCAATTTGCTCTTTATTATGTTGAGGTTTCTTTAATTATTATTAAATGTGTACAGTTTATCCTAAAATCAATCGAATAAATATTTAATTTTACATTAATTCATATTCTATTATAAATTTTCTTTAAAATACCTTTTTTTTTAAATACTTGTTATGTTATTATTAAATAGTCATTTTATTAAGTGCCAACAACGACCATAGGTCTTCACTGTTTTTAAGTTATATATAAAACTTATAATACTCTTATATATTAAAATCATTACATCACTTGATTTCATTTAAATATTTTTCTGAACATTTTTAATTCATTAAGGAGGTTCCATATAGCTAATTAGAATTTTGTTAAAAGATTTTAGATATATCATTTGAATAAAAAACATTGATAGAATACAAGTGGCATTAATGATATTATTTTATGCTAAATTTTGCTATATGTCACTTTTAAAAAATATACTTGAATATTGAAGTCATAATTTTGATGTATCTCATTCAATTTTTATTTCTTTTAAATATTTTTATAAATACATTATGCTAAAGATTTCTCTTGTGAAACTTCAAGTCGTCCTTGAAGAAGAATAACAGAAACTTGATACTTTAATTTATTTATTTAAAATAGAATTAAATAATAATTAATTATTTTTTGTTTTGGAAACCGGAATAGTTTTCAATTATAAACTATAGCTTCATTTGTTAATTAATTATAGACAAGATTTGGCCCAAATTCGTCATATTCAGACCCTTAATAATTAATATCACAACAGATTTTACAATAAATAAAATGGAACGTTCTAATTTAATATAATTAAAATTGAAGCAGCACAAATTTTTTTCTATAAAAATTTCAGTTTCTTCTCTTATGAGCCCTCGCATTTCATGCAGCCAACAGAAAGATTTATAACAAATTCTTCACCTTTACTTTCATATTCTTCTATAAGAAATACTTGATAACTCATTCAGTGGATACTGAATAGGTTTATGTACAGACTCAGATTGAACCATTTTTGAGTTGTCTGTAAAAAAACAGCCCAATACTTTAGAAGGCGTTCAATTTTTGTTCTTAATATAAAACTAGTCTATACTGAACAGAAGTTTTGATTTCCCTATGCTTCTTAAAGTATGTGGTTATCCCATATCAGTAGTAAAATAATACTTAGCCATAGAGAATGAAAAGGGAAAAGTAAATTAAACTGGTTAAGGTTTTGAATCTACATTTTTCCTAACTATTGCCAAAAATAGTTTTAACTTAGTTGTCATAAATTTAACATTTTAATTCTATATTCATTCCATGAAGGTTTTTTTTTTTTACATTCTTAATTATGTTTAATTTGTTTATGTTAAGATATTTTTCAATATTAGAGCACTTTCAGGACCCTTCATGCCCATCACTTAGTCTGTAAATCACTTGATGAGCATATGCATACTATGTCCCCGCACAAGAGTCAATCCATAGAATAGTAAATAAACTTTTTGCTACAGCTGAGTTTAAGATGTACTAGATTCCCACAGAAAGAGTAAATCGATGGCTGATAAAATAGAAAATAAACTTTCTATCACAGCCGATTTCAAAATGTAGTTTAGATGTCAGGAGTCGAAGACCTTATTAATACTTTAATGATGGTGGACTCATATATGAGTCTAGACAGAATTGGGCTCAGGCGACAGTGGATTCATAGCCAGGAGCGTCAGGATCATTCTTGTTAAACAATGGTGTTCTCAGTGATCAATTCTAACTTAAAACTATCTAGCTGTCTTCTTCCATGAGGCAGCAGCTAATTTTTCTGTTACTGGAGATTATGGATGATGCCTTTAATAAAAACGAGTAAGTGTAGTAAGTAGGAGTACTGAGTTAGTGGGAGCAATGAAAATTACCCTGACCTCGAGGACGTTTCACCCTTCTTGCTCATCGCCGCTTACAGGCTAAGAAAGTTTTAGAAAAATATCAAAAGTTCAAACAATTAGGAAACTGTAGACTCAATTAAGCAAATATATATTAATTTAAATACCTATTAGTAAATAATAGTAAATAGTAAAACGTTTGATAAATTGCTTTGTACGATTCATCTTCGGGATCCCAAGGGACACCTCTTTATCCCGTTTTTATGCAGAGTTGAAGTGGCTTTATCCTTCCTACCGTCATAAGTATTTCCTGGCACCCTTCCTCTTTCAAGTCATCCAATCCCACCATCCCTCATACATCTCCGAGCTCCTTCAATTCAAATCCTCAGTTCATTCTCGCAATACTCATTCCCGGTCTTCTGATTTATACATAACTGCTGCTTTCAACAAACGTTCATTATCCGATCCTCATCCCTATGGAACTCCATCCCTTTCCATATCCGTCAATCCAATACCCTTCCTACCTTTAAATCCCGCCTGTTCAATCATTTCTTATCCATCCAGTCCCTATAACATTGTATAATACTACTGTAAATATGAATATAAATTATTAGATCGTTTTTCAATATTTTTTTTATTTTTTATTATTAACTAATTAAAATTAGAAAGTAATTTAGATTTTTTTATTATGACTATTTAATAACTCTGTATTTTTGTTTATGTATCTCTGAGGTTTCTTAGCCCACATTTCTGTCTTTCTGTATTATTCTAAAAGGAATTGTCCCAGAACAAATAAAGTATTATTATTAAATAAATCAATAAGGGCAAGTAACAAAACAAATTATAATCACAATTACATTCATTTATTTTCAAAAATGTAACTTTTTTTAATAAATAGAATTAAAATAGTAAAACATTTGATTATTTTTTTAAATGTTATCTGCACATTAAAATACATTAATGGAAAAATTGTACAAGAATTCAATACACAAAAAAGATATATACTAGCTAGATTTCAATAGTAAAAGAATCTATACAAATTAATATCATCTAAAATACTAATCATATAAACTACAAAAATAACATTTTTTTTTTAACAAAAAACATTATAATACAGAATTTTTAGGTACAAAAATGGATCAAGAAAATGCAACAACACCTGATGCACTAATCTAGTCTATAAATCTATTATAAATAACAGCGAGATGTTAAGTTCTTAATAAATATAATATTAAAAAAAATTAGAAATTAAAAAAAAATATTTAAAGCAGATATTCAGAAATTAAACCGTCTAAAACATAAGTTCAACACAATAAACTAAATACAAAGGCTCTATTTAAAAAAGTGTATATAACAATACATATACAATTTACATGTTCAGAAGCATAGCTAATTTACATATAAAAGATGCATAAAGGCACCAAAACATAATTATCTTCAAAAATAAACACAATTAACTTTTTATTTTTTATCAATACGTAAATATAGCGTATCAAGGATAAAATTTAGCATCAATGATATGAACTATGTCATTTCAATCAAACAGTTAACAATTATATCCATGAATTAAAATAATTAATTATCTGAAAACTGGCTAATCATCAATTTATATCAATTTCCAGCAGCTTTATTAGTAATAATAAATGCCTTTCATTTGATTGAAACTGTTTCTCAACTCCCAGGTACACTTCTACATACTTTGCGAAATTGTTTTAATCTGCCTGATCTCTGCTATGAATGTATGGATACATAACTCCGTTATGGATACATTCAATTGATAAGGAACCAGAAATCAGCTACTTGATCATAAATAAAATACATAAACTAAACTTTATACAAAGTCTAAAATTACAAAAGATTAGTAAATTTGAATTTTAGTATGTCGACGTTCACCAGACCAGTTAAAAGTTATACCTAAAATATTTTTAGTCAAAATAAAATCAGCTTTAAAAGCAATCGCCATTTTTTTAAACATTATTTCCATTTCAATTATACTATACTGATAAAAACATTTTAATCTGAACATGAAGTAAAGCACATTATAAATTCAAAAACGAATTAAAAAATTATAAATACAGTGATAAAACGCAGTGCTCTAAAAAAAAAAAATAATAACAGATATAAAAAGTTACAAATAACCACATCATCTTACTGGATACTACGTACAACATTGAAAAAATTTTGGATAACATCGAATCACTAATACACCACAAAACTTTATAAGATATTTTAAGGAACTGGTGCAGTATAATCTTGTGGGCTGAAGTAGGTTCCAATATTTTTGTGGAAGAATCTAAAAATACAGAGTATATTATCAGAGATTTTATATTACATTAAAACATTTAATATTTAAGAAATGTCTAATTTTGTATTGAAGGAAGCTAGACGACTGTTCTACATATCTTGGGTGATAAATATTCAGGATGCGGTCATTACAAGAATTTTTTATTTGTGCTGACATTCCAACCCAAACAAACATGTAGGTCATCATCAGGGCGTGGTTCGAGCACTGAAGATATAAGTACTCACTTGAATATCAGTACTTGTATTGAATATCACTTGTACAAAATACTTGAATACCTTCAGTGCTCGAACCATACCCTGATGATGATGACCCACATGTTTGGGTTGAAACGATCGGCACAAATAAAAAATTCTTATAATGACTGTGTACTGAATATTTATCACCCATGTCTATTTTTTTTAAATAATAATTTAATACTTATAAGGAGACGTCATGAATGTGGGGTCCCGTATTCAATGAAACTTTTTTTTGTTGATACTAGGTCAAAAATACTCGGTTCTTGCCAATCTGAATTTGTTTTTTCCTGACAAAAATTTACTTGGCCTTACTGGAAGCAACTTTTGGTAATTTATAATATATTAGAATTTGTTTAATAAAATGAGCAACGTGTTATCTTATTTTACACAAAAAAATAAATCGATTGATCTATTATAACCTAGAAATCAGTGCAGAGGAAAGTCAAAAAACAGTATTATAAAGTTTTGTAAAATAATTTTTCTCAGGTCCTAGCATGCATTTGCAAGAACCCTCGAACAAGGGTCTAATATTTTTCACGTATCACAAAAAAAGTTTCATTGAAATCAGTGACCACACACTCGTAAACTCTCCGTGTTAAATCTACTAAGAAAACATGTAAAAAAAAATAATACATTGCATTTAAAAAAAAGGGGGAGAAAAAGTAGACTTTTATCAATGTCATTAACTATAAATCTAACACGATATCATACACTTGTATAAATAAAATAATATAGAACCTTACGGAACGAATGATATGATGATTTGAAAATAGTAGTTTTGGGTACATCACAATTCAAATTATTGTGAATTTACCACTTGATGTGATTTTAAACAGAAAATGATTTGAACCATTTGAAATATAAAAACACATCAAAGAAAGAAAAGATTCATTATCTAAAAAATAAAAACTAATTAATTAAATTGACAGCCACACTGCGAAAGCCTGTAAGAACGATCTCTTTGGAAAATGAGGTTTTGAGCTTTTCCGGTCAATCCTGTCCTAGAACATATCCTGATCCTAAAAAATGAAATCTACGATGTTTCATTTCTTCTCTATGGCCTTTTTTAAAAACATGTAACCTAAACACCAGCAAATTGTGATGTAAAAAGCTGTGAGTTACAGTGAAGGTTATAGAGATTGTGTAGTTACCGAAAAAACATAATCAAATGCTCAATGAAAATTAGTCATGTAAATATAGGAAATGTATAAAGCGTTTTGTGCATAGACTAATTAGCCTCATTAATAGCCTAAATTAATTTTTCTCATAAGCTTTGTATTCTTTTTTTAAATTTCTAACAATCGGCAGGCACTTCCAGCCCTGCACCACTGGACAAATACTCGGGTTCCCCATCCCTGAGGCCAGCACTGCTTACCATGGAACAAGATGAAGCAAAGAAGAGAGTGTTCAGTGGGAATATAATTTAGAATGGCTCTCGAAACCTCCTGGCAACAGCAAAATGAGACTGAAAAAAAACTACAATGCCGCTGAATCCCAGATAGTGAGAGACAGAAAATTTAATTTTGTTAATTGGAAAATTTAACACGACAAGAAAAAAGAACACTAGTTTCATCTTTTCAAAGCAATGACTCTTCGAAAACGCAAACTCAGAAACAAAATGATCAACACATCAGCAGATCACCTAGAACTTACATACAAGCATTTCTGAATCAAACCATGTCCATAACAAGTTTATTAACAACAGTAATCAAACCATGTCCATAACAAGTTTATTAACAACTCTGTTAATAAACGACTCTGTTCGAGACGTCCCTACAGTGGGTGACAAAAAAGTGAATAACCGTTGTGATTAAATATAAGCTTTCCATTCAAATATTTTACAAATTTTTTTTTTACAAATCATTTGAAGTATCATTTCTCTATATTTTGGAAACTGACTTTGTTCCTGTCATGACTCAATCATTATTAACGATTTTATGGGTGTTACCACAATAAATTTGATTGATTTTACCTAACTAACACCTGTTTTCCAAAGTAACTAAAAAATATAAGTTAGAAGTAATGGCTCCAAAAGATTATTTAGCAGAAACACGATCTAGAAAGTTACATGGACCATTACATCTTGCAAAAAAAAATTGAATCGAAAATACAATGCTCATAGAACAAAGATTAAGCAGTTTTTGTTCTTGCAGGCTTTTGTAATGTGGCTGTCATGCTTTTGAAATGCATTAAATATAACTCACTTCAAGAAATCATGAAGATGTAAAACCAACAACTGGACTGTCCTCTCATCCAACCTTGTATAAGCAAGAGCACACCCGATTTTCACTGTTAAAAAGAAAATTAATAGATAAAAATAAATTAAAATAAAATATTTATTAAATTAAATTAAAATATATAATTTAGTATTTGCTCACCGAAAAGGCGCAATAAATGTACAGGACCATACAGCTTACTTGCAACAGTATCGGGATGTTCTTTGGTAACCTATAAACAAAATAAATCTTGAAATTTATATAATAAAGTAGAAAATTCAAATTCAAAATAGTCCATTTTTAAAAATTAGTTACAAATAAAAAAAAATAAATAACCGGCTCCAATTTAATGTAATACAATACACATTTAATACAAATGTTATAAAATATGAATATATTAATAAAATAAATATGTACATAAAACACTTATATCACCTCATTATATTGTTTCCTTTCTGTTTTGTAAAGCAGCTGAGTTCCAAGCATAACATTGAAGTATTCTCTAATACCATCCGTCACTTCAAGTCTAGCCTCCTCCCTAAATATTAAGTTACAAAAAGCAAATAAATAAACTTATACATAAATTATTATATTATTATAAATTATAAATGAACTATGGTTCGTTAGCAAGGGAATCACTTAAGTGTCAACTTTTAACCGAATGAGGTCCTAGGGGATAAAAGTTGTAAGATTTTTTTTTTTTTTTCAAAAATTGAGTTAATGGTGGTTGGTTAAAATTTATGAAGAAAATCATTACAGTCTTATCAGGTCGAATGAAAAGAAGAAACATTTTATCCCTGTTAAAAAATAGTGATTTTCAAATAAAGCTCAAATTTTTATTATAACTGGTAAATGGTTGACTGTCGTGGATAATGAAGAGAAGAATAGTAACTGTAATGTAATGTAAAATTTGTACATATTGATAGACTTTACAACATCTCAATTTTCTATCTAAATATTCTATTCACTATATCTTAATTTTACTATTTATTTCCATTTCTTATATAACTTCATATTTTTCTGTTTTACATTTTATTCTAGGATTCCCTTCACAATACTTATGTCACCTTTTTTGACTATTTACTTCATCATTCCACACTTTGTACCTGTTATTATTATTTGTCTCTTGTTCTTACTATTGTCATTATTCTAACAACTTCATTTTACTGTAATTTTTATATTTCTCATACCTTGTTATCTGGTTCTTTTCTTAGCCCTGATGATGGCCTGAACTTCGGGTCGAAACGTCGGAATATGTAAAAATAAATATTATCATTTATTTTTGCCTTCTTTTTTGACTGACCACCCTAACTATTCTTCTCTTCAAATTTTTATTATTTAATAAAATATTTAAACATTTTAATTAATACATATAATTTCAAATCCCCCACATATATTATTGCAGTAAGGCTCGAAATCGGTTTTGTACCAAATATAAGCTCTTGTCACGCTCAAATACCATGAATAGTGCATCAGTGGAATTAGAATTTCATAGGGCTTGACCAAATCATACTCTCCGCTTTTGTTTTTCTTTATAAAATAAATAAAGTCAATATAAATATTTTTTTAGACTTCAATACTAGAATGGTGTTAAGTGTGTAGATCAATACAGAACAAATTGGGCTTTGAAGATTTTGGTAAATACACCTTGCATTCTTAAGCCAAACAATGTATTATTTTCGAGATAATACAAGGCAAAGGGCTCACATTCACACAACCTTACGTTAATTGTAGTTCTGCCATGAAATACTTGTCTCATTTTGTCAACTTGAGGTCCCTATGATCGACAGAGGAGGAGCTTATATTGTTAATCAAAGGTGTTTTTTTGTCAGTAAGCCATATCATTAATTCTTCATCAAATCACAAAATTGAGCCACCAATTTTGAAGGTTTTCTTCTCCTTCAAGCAGGAAAATTAGTTCTAATCGCTCGGAAAATACAGACAAAAATGTTATGAAAGAAAAGAAACTTTATTTGCGAATAACTAAAAATTACACACTTGTTCCTTATATAATGTTTGCCCATAATTATATAAAAGATTACTGTATTCCCTACAAAATGAAAAAAAAAAAATCATTGAAATCATCCAATTAGCGAAAATACAATTTATTGAAATTTGTAAGCATTTTGGTTCCAAACATTAATTTTTTTTTTTTCTTATTCCCGGTTTCATAAAGGTTTGTTTCTTACATATGGTTAACATATTCCTTGTACTGTATCTTAGATACATTTTAAGCTCTTGCTGAGCCTTTCTTAGTTTTGTTTATATTTATTTCTGGACTTTCAATCTGGGTGATGGAGCTCACCTCTATCTTGATAATTTTCTTAGGACTATCTTATAATCTAACTTACAACTATATTTTGCCATCGCCGAGGAGATGGTGGAAATGTTATTGTATTGAATTCTGCATTTGTTAAATATTTTAAAGAATCGTAGAATTTTATTATTTTTTTGTTTATGAATTCAGATACGGTGGGTAAATTTAAGAAGGCTTGAAGTTTATCTGATTTTTGTTTTTCAAATGACGTATTTTTAGCTATTCTCATTAGAATTCCATTTTGGAATCGTTGAAGTCTCTTGCTTGTGTTTTCAGATATGTGGGACACAATAGAGGAGCACCATAAAGAAGGGAAGGGCGAAGAATGCTTTTGTAGATGATTAATTTTAATCTGAGACTGAGGTTTGAGGTTGTGAGAAGGTGACTGAATTTGTAGGATTTTTGTCTAACTTTTGATAGTTTTGAAGTGCAATGAGCGGTAAACTTTAGATGTCTGTCAAATTCCATTCCTAGATAGACCAAATTATTTGATATTTTGTTGTATGAATCGCCAACTAATGAAGTTTAAAATTAATTTTTGTTTTCTTTGTCGATTATATTTAGCGAGAAAGTGACAATTGATTTCTCTATCTTGTGATACGTTACATTATTTTATTTTCTTATTATTTGTCTTTAAATATACGAATTTTTAGCACGGGCTTACTAGTATTATATTATTTTAAACATTTAAAAATGGGAATAAACCCTGATAAATAAGTGAACTGCAACCATAAAATAAAGTGACATACTTGAAACAAAAATTATAATTTATAAATAATCTAGAAGGCAATGAATTAATGAAAGAGGAAAAAAAAAATTACTTACTTATTTATAATGGGTTGTTTTAGAGGTACCCTCTGTTTAGAATAATCATCAAGAATGCTCTCAACGGTATGCTTAGAAGGAATTTTCACCAACTGAAAATTAACAATACGTTACATAGATACAAATCAATGAATTATTACTTTCACTCAATCTCCATGATGTATATATAATATGCCGATAATTGAATATTATAATAACTTAAAAAAGAAGAAGGATAATAATACATACTATGAAAATAAAAATTTTCGAAAAGGTTATAATATAACACAGTAAATAAATTAAATTAATTTTAGACAAGAAGGATCAAGTTCAGGTTGCTGAGCAACACGTATTTTACACATATGTTAGCCCGCTCGGCCATCCTGCTCCCCTAATGAAGTATACTTGTACAATGTGTAAACTATATATGTCATATATTTTTTATTCTAGGAGTTCATAATAGTTGCAGACAAATAAAGAATAAAATGTACCTCAGTCAATTTATGTTAAACAGCAGCATGCTAAAGATGTTTAACAACAGAATAAATTATACAAAATTTATTTTAATAAACAATACATTTTTTTTTTATTCTTGAAATTTACAACTTTATTAAAATAAAAATACATCCGGTATATTTGAATAATAAAGAAAAATAGTGACATGAAAAGACTTGTAGAGAAATCCCTCACCGGAAGCACTCTAATATAATTAAAATAGTAAATTTGTTTTTCCACATTTACTCAATAGAATTGATTAGGAAACTAACCATAATTTCGTAACTTAAAAATGTAATATGGTTTCTTCGAAAGATAATTTCTAATTTTTGGATTAAGAAATTGAATGCTAACATAAAAAAAGTAATACAATCTATCAACAAAAATAAGGTCAATCATAATAATAAAAATAAGTTAATTATCATAAACGTTACTCACCCGCCTTTGCTTTGATATATATTCCCAATCATCAACAAGTATCGGCTTCAATTCATCTGGTAACTTAATTTTGATTTCCAATTTAGCCAAAAATTGCTCCTCCTGTTAAATACAAAATACTGACATTTAAAAATAATCTTTGTTCTGGAATCAAATTTCTAAAGAAATATGAACATAAATGAGTCCTTTTACTCTAGCTGTTAGCTATTTTTATGCTAAATAATCAGTTTAAATTCAAAATTGATTAGAGGTTTCAGATATAAGGCCTGATATAAGGGTGAAGAAATAGTTTATATTTGAAGAAAGACAGAGAAGAAACTTTGAAGATAGAGATAACCAAGGAATTCCAAAAGAAGAAGGAATAGACAAGAATTTACAAAAAGAATCAGATTATTGGTTGGATTCTGGTGTTCCAGGAATCAATGAAAGAATGCACAGTAAGAAGTTCAGATATAGAAAGGTTTATTGTTTTTTAGGGTTTGGAAAGATAATGAATGAATGAAAAAATTATTTTATTATCGGACTGAAATCCCTTAAGAATTTATAACAGAGCTCAAGAAATATGTACATTAATTTGGCATGTACAAATAGTATACTTGTCAGTTACTATTAATGCATTTTGTAATTACAAAACCTAAAAATTCTTACAAGGTTGCAGAAGTCTGAATGTGAAGCAGGTGATGGAATAGGAGTTGTTTGAAGAAATTCGTGGATGAGGATTGACATATAAAGATAGGTCTATAGGACGTATAGCGTTCCAAAAGGGGTGGTTAGGGGTGGTTAGCATGAATGACAAAGGATTTGCTGAAGGAAGTGATTTTATAGGAGGGGATATATAGATCCATAGGTTGAGATCTGGTATTATGATATTGAACAGAGAAACGTAGAGTAAGGAGTTCTATGATGTAGAAAGATTTTTGGTTCTGAAACTTTAAAAAGAAAACACCACAAAAGAATGGTATCGGAGAAGAAAATAAACAAGGATAAAGTTTAGCTCCGCATAATAGCTAGAGATATGGGTGCACCTGGAAACCTCAAAGATAAATCTAATAATACAATTCTTAAGATGATTTAATTTCCTTTTGAGTTCATAGGTGACTCCCCCATTTACCAGGTAACAATAGTTAAAGCATGGGAAAATAAGAGAGTAGACAAGTAGCTGGTGGGTTTATGGATTTTCAAGATATTTCATAAATACAATTACTAATATATTCTGATGTACTGATTCTGCCTAATTATAATACTTACACTTTCAACAGTTGGATCTGTCTTTGATCGTTTACGTTTAGGAACATCACTCGAAGATTCCTGCGATGAAGATGGAGCAGAAGTACTCTGCCTTCCAGAGTATCTGTCGATCGGAGTAGAACTTCTGCTATCTCCATCCTTGTCACGAGATGTATCTAATTCTTTTCCTGATGTACTTCTTTTTTTACCTCTTTTCCCCTTCCTGTTAAAAATAATACTAGTTAATGTTCATTGATAAGTCTAAATAAACTTAAGAAAAAGAATAAGCTCCGATTTTATACATGTGATAATATCTGGTTAAAATTAAAATCATCATGTTCTTTTCTCTTCAAACAATGCTATGCAATGTGAAGTTCAACAAATTAATAACCATCAATTATATAAAACAGTTGAGAATTATATTTATTTGTTGATGGAGAAAATATCCTGGAACTTAGAGGTAATCAAAAAGTTAGTTACGGATGCAATCAAGAAATAAAACATCTATTAAGTAAGCGTGATACATCTTTTAGTGTGAACCAAGATATAGTAAACCTAAGCTGTAGTCTTACATTTTTTTAATTCTAATAAAGGTATATAACTTATATATACACACACACGCACGCACGCACGCACGCACGCACGCACGCACGCACGCACGCACGCACGCACGCACGCACGCACGCACGCACGCACGCACGCACGCACGCACGCACGCACGCACGCACGCACGCACGCACGCACGCACGCACGCACGCACGCACGCACGCACGCACTCACTCACTCACACACACACACACACACACACACACACACACACACACACACACACACACACACACACACACACACACACACACACAAACACACAAACACACACACACACACACACACACACACACACACACACACACAAACACACACACACACACACACACACACACACACACACACACACAAACACACACACACACACACACACACACACACACACACACACACACACACAAACACACAAACACACACACACAAACACACACACACAAACACACACACACACACACACACACACACACACACACACACACACACACACACACACACACACACGTACATACCACTAATTTAATTAACTGAAAAAATTATTTATAACTGAACAAATGAAACATAAATAAATGGTTTAGAGTGCTTGGCAAACATGATAGGTTACGTATGTATATGCAATATGTGCAATATGTTATACGTGCAACAAGATATACATGTATAAATTGCATGTAGTTATATTGTAATAGTTGAAAAATAAAATGGAGGATAAGAAAATAACTATAAATAAATAACTTACGGTTCAGTTTTCTGCGCTTTATGAAGTTCTTTCTGCCTTTGTAGATTAGCTTCATTGTATTTCAAGACACGACTCTCAGGTACCCACTCATCCCAACTAAACAAAAATATTATTAATAAAAATTGGAATCAAATAAATGATAACTTAAAATAACAATATATAATCAAATACTTAGTATCCCTAAGAGGAAAGGATGGCTGAGACCCTGAGACACACTCCCCAACGAGCTCGGCCATCCTGTCCCTTAGCCGAGCACATTGGAGTATAGGTCCCAGAGAGCCCGGTTCTGGACATTGTGGGTTTGATTCCCACCTGTATCGGTTGCTTTTCATTTTTCGGTAGCTCCAGGAAATGAATCTTGATGTTCCCACACCGATAAGTATGTGGCAGCAACCTCAAGATAGCCAGGAGTGGTTTGCAAAAGAGACCACGATAGGGCCCATTTGCCAGATTAATTCTCCCCCACCAGTATCATTATAGTACCACCAGTAACTATCCTTGACATTGAATATTAATAATATAAATAAGTTACAGCAATTTAAAAACTTTTAAATGAGCAGTTACAAAGAGTTTTCTTAAAATTTTATTTCTATGGAATTTATATGGTTTGCATTTATTTTTTTTTTCTCCTGTTCCTCACCTTTTAGGCTATACCAGGTTTTTCCCGCACCAGGGGAGAAGGCAGAGTTTTAGTGCCAGAGTTAAAAAGTCTCTAGGGTAGATGGGTTTCGAAATTGTAATCTTCAGTCTGTCAAGTTGTCGGGCAACAGATATTTGTCATATATATCACTCAGCCACCCAACCCATATATGGTATGCATTAATAAATGTTCTAATTTATAATTTTAAACACAGTTTTGATGGAAAATAACTAAGAAAAATGATAGTTACTATTAATTAAAAATGCCTTGAGATATGTTACCTCTTATTCCAACCAGAATAATGGATATGATACTGCACAATTTTTTCTTTTTCTTCTACACGAGACTGTAAGCATTTTGCCTCATATATCAATGGCCCATGAAAGCAAAGAACTTTCTCTCCTGTAATGTGAAAAAATATTTTGCTCAAAATACATTTTTGCATAAAGGAATCCCAAATCAAATATTAAAATTACAATCCATAATTTGACTAGTCATAGATCTGAAAAAATAATTAGGTTCTGACAGTTATTTAAATATATTATATGCTATTTCAGTCATATTTAAGAACAACAAAACCTGAATGATTGCACCTCACAAAAATAAATAAGAATTTAATCCTAAAGAATCAAATTATGGGTCTTATCATTCATAACGAACTTCTGTCATGCAACTATTGTTTTGGTGGCTGCAATCCAATTTAATGATTTTGACATTACATCATCAGTCCAACTACCCAAAGACAATGTATTACTTACTTATATTTTGTTCAATCACTATTCTCAATGAATGACCTTAGTATTCCAAATTTAATTATTGAAATCCATTTCATTGTAGAAATAATGAAACATCTGATTTTTCTGAATATCCAAATCTTTCAATTCGCAACAGGGCCCAAGTTCCAGGATTATATCCAATCATATTGAAACATAATATAACAGTTTCAGCATTAATTCAAAGAAATTAAAATTTTGCTGTTCTGGTCAACATTTTAGTAAATTATTCTCTTGCTTCAATGCAGCTATAATATTCATTTTTTAACAGTGTTATACAGCCAAAGCTTGTACATTTAATTTTCTAGGTGCATAATTATTAATAAGTTTACCTGGGTATTAATTTTAGTTTAAGGTTTAATATAATTGTTATTAATAGTAATTGTAGAAATGGTTGACTGTATTTAATTATAGTAAGAGAAGTTGGTTGGAGGTTACATTCAGTGAAGTACACAAAAAATTATTAATTTTTTTTGTGGCTATGTTTTGGCCTTAACACCTTCATTAAAGAAAAAATTTGGGACAAATAAAAAAATGTTTATGTACTTCACTGATAGCAACCCTCAACCAACTTCTCAATTAATAAAATTGTAATTTCCTTTTATTTAATTATTACTATTATTTCACAGCACTACAATCCAGTTACATGTCTTGGCCTTCTCTAATCATTTCCTTCCATCATCCCGGTCTTCCGCTAACGCCATCTCCAGTTTCCAACTCCCAGCATAGAGTGGGCGTCACCTGTCACATGATCCGACCATCTCAGCCTTGGTCTTCCTCTTCTCCTAGTTCCATAAATTGGCTGTGCAAGCAATATTTTAGGCATTTCTCCATCCGCCATCCTGGCAATATGCCTAACCTCAACCATCCTTAAACTCCTCAACTTCATTACTTTCACAATGTCAACGTCCCCAAAAGCATTGTATAGCACCTGGTACGTGAGCCGCTTCCACTCTTCTCCAACTTTCAGCCCCCCACTTCCCAAAAAAACACGGCAGAGAACTTTTCTTCCAAAAATAAGGAGTTCCTTTTATTCAATAAATAATTTTAACTTCACTGCTTGCAATCATAAATTTAACGCAAAGATTAATTATTGGGACTGAACTTGAATAGGCTATGATGCATTTCTTCTGGGCAGAACATCAATGGATAGAGGGTTTTAGAGTGAATCTATTACCCAGCACATCACTACTTTTTAATAGTGTAAAATATCATCATGGTCACTCCTCACAAAAATCATACGGGATGAAATAATATAAATTTTCTAAGTCATTCGAAAAAACATAACATTGCTCTTTAAACATCATATAGAAAATTTAATTATAATTGTTTGATCAAGATACACCTTTCAAGACAAAAAAATTATACTCAAGCCTATATAAATTCAAGTTTAATAAAAATAAAAAGACTGCTTCTCATTATCATGATATATTGTATAATAACATACCTGTATCATCACTAGTGTTTTATTTATACAAAATATTTATGATTGAACTAAAATCGTCATTTAGACCATACATAGTTTAGCTATCAAGTGATTTTTTAAAATTTATAATCCATTTATCTTAACTTCTAACACAAAAAAAACAAAAACAAATCCATCATAAGAAACTTTAATTAACACAATTAAAATTTTTAAATGTTTTAAGACATGACAGGGCATATTACCTTCTTGAAATTTAAATTTCGGCGGAACTTTAAACTCCGCACCGTCCTTTGGTTTGACGGCACTTGTCATTTTGTAAACTTTTATTAAATTATAAACAAAAACAATCAACAATCCTAACCTTGCACAACGGACTCGATGTAGCCCAAAAACATGACAGGACTTTCCAGGTTATAATATTCATCATTTTCAATTATTAAACTTAAAATATATTTTTTAAAGATTTTATCTGCTTTTATTTAATTTCCCTTAAAAGATTAAAGATTATGAAGAACGATCATTACATGAAAAATCGAATTAATGTTCTATTGCTATTCTTCTAGCACAGAACCAGCCGCACCCAGAAGAGGCGCTAAATTTAAAAAAACAGGAAATACAAATAAAGAGGTAAATTAAAAATTTAATAGTATTCGTAAAATAAGATATTATTGAATGTCAGACAACTATTGCAAACATATAAGATATTGACAGTTCGTGAGTTATATCTTAAATACCGGAATATGAAATATTAAATCAATCTTACAATCTGTCTTAAAAAGTTCTTACTGGTTTCAAAATCTTTTTTTTTTTTCAATGTTTTAAAAATTAATATGTTGAATACAAGACTTGTACTATCTCAGCACTTAACATAGAACAATTTTTACATGCACAGAGGCCAATCAAAATGTAAGTTTTTATGTAAATTTACATATTATCAAAATGATTCACATAATGATGTATTTACATATAATTCATCACTTAAATACTTACTCTCAGATTCGTCTTCTTTTTATATAATTTTTTTTCTGCAGGAACACAGAGTTTATTGCTAAGAAGAATGTAATGTATTATTTTTTTTTTTTTTTAAGTGTATATTTATGTTTAACCACTGTAGTTTTGGCATGGTTTCAAGTGTTTTGTATATAATTTTTTTTTTATTTTGTACATAGTATGTTTAACTAATATTTTCTTTACTCTTTTCTCTTTATTTTTACTTTTTATGTTTGTTTTTACTTAGGCCAGATATAATACTTTAATTCTGTACTTTTTTGTTATTCTAAACGGACTTCGTCCCAGAATAAAATTATTTTCTATTCTATTCTATTCTAAGTATACAACATTAGACCTATAAAGGAAACTTAGAAATCCTTTATCAATATATCATATATTATGTTTTATTAATGGTAGTTTACTTTTTTAAACAAGTAAAAAATACATACGGCCTACAACTTTAAAAAATATGGTACAGACTTAGTACTAAGTATGAATTAAAAGCAAAATTTATTAAGTAAAATTAAATCACTAAGGATTTTGATTAATTTTCTCTCTATGGAATCAGAACTTTGTACATTTATCGTAACTACATTTGATAAATAAAAGAGTTTAGATCAATTTGAACACTTACTGTATTTTGGTATTGATAAATAGTGTCAAAGTTCTCCAAAATGTATTTAAAAGTCTAGTTCCATTGAAAATTAACTCAACCACTTTTTGCAATAAATCACGGAAATATTTAATAAAATTCATAATAACAAAGAAAAATATTTCAAATTTATGCATACATTAACTCTTTTATTCTGTTAACCAGCATACTACCATATGTGGAGTCAACAAAAGTGAAAAATTCATACTAAAATTTAACCTTATCAAATATAATTATATATTTTAAGCATTCATAACAACTCAAATTTATCATATCTTTGACCTCACGAATTGCCAACTTATTACATTTGGTGTAACATTAATATTTTTCGTGGAGAAACTAGGAATATTGGCTTTAAATCACTGGTATTTTAATTTTAAGAAAAACTTTGGTGAGTTTATATTTTTGAAAATTTCGTATTTTGAGATTACATTAATGAGCCCTGCGGTTAGGGGTAAGTCTAACTTTGACTTTTTACACCCATTTGAAGTATCTAAAAAGAGGCATGTGAAAAAGTTTCTCCAATTTTTACCGAATTAGTGATTTTTAAAATGATAAATATCTTAAATTTTAATCAAGGTGCAAACGTTTCTGCACGCAATTCCTTTAATTTTGTGAAATTAACAAACTGCAGAAACATCTGAATCCTCTCGTTTCAAACCTTGCTTTCTCCTCGATCCCTGATAACCCTCCAAGGCATCTTATTAGAAGATGGCCTCGGGACCTTCTAATATAGAACTTTAATTTGAGTTCTACCAATGGGTAGTTTCTCTTCATGTTGTACATGTTTGTTACCAATGTCACATTTACTTGTTGTATTTTCCATGTAATACAGTTTTAAATTTCATTAAAATAAAATAAAAAATTTAGTTATCTTCTAATTTTTCTTTTTTTATCACCATGATAAGAAATAAGAGGATGGGTACAAAGTACAGAAATAAAACTAAAAATAGCCAGATGTTGATTAGTGTATGAGTGAATATGTGTAACACCAAATAATTTTTAAAAAGTGTGACAAATATTTAATTTTTGACAAATGGTGCCACATCAAAAAAAATAAAAGGTAAATAATTGTAAAATAGATAGATTGGAATGATATTGTTAAATAAGAATTAATATAGAAAATGTGCATAGTTTCAGTAAAAATGAAAATATTACTCTGATGATCGGAAAATTGTCCCGAAACGTAAGAGACAACAAGCATAAATAAAAAAATATGAAGAAAATTGGAAGTTTTATTGCCTAAAATATAAAAAAAAAAAAAATTGTGAAATTAACAATACAAGTTAAATTTAAAAAAAAAACATTAAAATTACTTCTCATTGTACTAACTAAGCAATTCGTTCTATAAAAGTTTTATAAATTTTGTATGAAATGCTGCCTGAGAGTAAATTACAAGTCAGGATCATTTTACTGTTTCTCATTTCTTTTTAGAAAGTTTCTATCATTATTAGGTATCCAGTCACATTAATCACTACTTATTGATTAGTTTTCACTTTTGTATTAAACTTGGGTTATGTGAGATTAGCTTTAGGTAAGTACTTAGGTTTATTCAAATAAAATCTCTCAAACAAACAAACAGAAATGTATAAGCAAAAACTCTTAGAGCAACATTATTTGGATTTCCTTAGTTACACTTGAAAAAATATCTCATTTTATAGTTCAACTGTGACTGACATAGCAAGACTTAAATAGAATAAAATAAATTACATATTTGAAATCTTAATGCATTACTTACTTTTAAAAATATAAACATAGCAACTACCAAATCCTCAGTATGTCACTCTCTCAAATAGTAAAAATATAAAATATATCCTCATTTTTAACCATTAAAATTAAGTATTATAAGCTAGATTCAACTTATTGTGACTATTTCATAAAAAAAAAAAAAAAAAAAAAAAAAAAAACTTATATAAATAGAAGTGATTAATATGTATGAGTATATATATATATCTTCTTTTTTTTTTTTCTTTCACTTACCTATATATGAAATATATAGTAAGGGGAAGTACTGCGATCATGAAAATATTCATCATGTCATTGTAAAATTAAGCAGTTATAAATAAAATGCAGTTTTCATTCTGATTGATGTTTTGTAACAGGGCTTAAATGGCTAATTTTGAATATTAGCTTCCCCTAAAGTACCTTTAATTTTTTTTATTTAAAACAATTGACCATTTCACATTAATCTCTAATATAAAAGATAGTTAAATATGGAAGAAACTGATAATTAAATAAAGGAGAAATAAGACATTGTAACAGAGAATAGTTGTAATTGAGGAACAAAAGGAATACGAGCACATACGAAAGATTAGAGCACGCTTCCATAAGTAATGAGCTTAATATAATAAGGACTTCGAGAATATTATGTAAATATACATATGCGGTTTTCATAGATGCTATTATTAAATATTTAATTGTATAGATCACAGTGATATAAATATTAAAATTTGTATATATAAGGGTACTTATAAAAATACCCATAGTGAATTCGATTTAAATCAATATAGCATTTGTAATTTTTACTTTCACTTACCCTTTATTTAAAATTACTTATTTCAGCTAAGAAGAGGGTGATAAGTGAAAGTTGGGTGATGCACTCTTTTTTTATTTTTTTTCTATTTAATTTCCCTTCCCTCTCTTTATCTCTCTAAAACGGTACATGTATTAAAGTGCTTAAAACTATTCATAAATTCTTTCAATAAATAAATAGAAAAATTAAAATTCTTACTCTACCCATGCACGTGGTGATGAATGATTCCAACCTCGCTATGTCCTTAATGTCGACACCTAGTTCCTCGAGGAAGCTCCTTATTCTTTTTGGATTCGTTCCGTGAGACCCAAACCAGAGGCCTCTCATGGTGAACTCTATTTATCTGGTCTCACGGAACTTCTCTTTTAGGAAAGGAATACAGTTATCATATGTGTTCTTCTTTTCCATTTCCACTTCACTCGCCTGATTGAGGTCATTGCTCTCAAAGCGGACAGTTGGATCCAAGATCTGCGCTGTCCTTCCTGTCTTGGAAAATGCGACAATATCCGCATATCTTGACAATATTGCATAATTGTAAGAGGTTAGGGGTCGTATCAAAGGAGACTTATCAAATTGGATCAGTTTCCAAATTACAACTTTGACTAATAATTTCTGTTGGTAGCCATCTGGCAATAAGTGTTTTATTTCATAGCATAATATAATCAATTTGTTTCATTCAAGGGATTTTTTTTTTCTTTGCCCAGGTTTATAAGTTAACCAACAATTATTTATTATTCGCTTATCTTTTTATTCAACCAGGTTTTTAAAAATATTTTTAATTTATTATTCTTGTTTTTTTTTATACAGAGTTAATTCTGCAATTAAATTTCTTCACAGAGAAACCATGCAGTGATAAGGCTCTCAATTCATCTAATTCTCTATCCACCGTAACAGTTTATTAATGCTTAGATAATGGAAAAAAAGATATATAAAGACATATGGGTCTGAAGTACAAATTAAGCTAATATTGTTATAAGCAAAGCACTACTAGACTTACCTAAAAGAAAAATTAAACTTCTATTAATATAGTTTTTTCATACTCATAGCAACACCAAATACGAAAGGGTCTACTGTACATGTTCAAATAAAGTGCATATTAACTAATCAATAATGCATATTATTGTTGCAATTCATGAAGCACTATGCAATATATTGCTTCAATTAAATGAAACTTGATTCAAATTAAATCAGAAGTACTTTTTTTTATATGATAAATTACCAAGGTAAAAAATAAAATACAATACTGGCGTTCATTCAAGCTTGAAAATTTCTCTCATATTTATTATTCGTGTTTTTGTTACAATTAATCTGCAAAAATAAGAAAAACAAAAAAAACTAAATCGATTATAAAAGGTAAAAATAACAAATATTCTTTAATGGGTTTAATACAATAATTTATAAATGTTTTTTATTATGTTTTTTTCCACTCCAATATATTTATTATTATTTTTAAACTCCAATGAAATAGATGTAGACATCAAGTTTTTTTTTCTATATACAATACATAATATTAATTTGATATTTTGTCACTAGTATTACTGTTTCAAAGAACATATATCTGATAAGTAGAGTATTAAAAGTGATTTCGTAACCTACATTAACAATAATTAATTGTGATATACAAATAATAAATAGGCTTTTACAATATAGATAAGTGTTTTTTTGTTCTTTTTTATTAACATTTAAAAAGTGTATTTGTTCCTACAAATTACAGACATATTTACAAACATTTTAACCATTAATGACAACAAATAAATAACATCGAGAAGATATACTGAAACAGTACATACTCTGTGAAAAACATTAATTATATTTATGAAATAACTTAGGGTTATGAAATAACACATTTTTCAACACAGCAGTAATTTATTTAATCAGAGGAAGATAGGGGTAGGGGTGAGATGGAAGAAAAGTGAGGGTGGTATTGCAAAACAAAATATACCACATAAAACAAACAAACAAAATTGACATTTGATTAATTTAATAAAGATTATTTACTATTTTCAATGGTGTTTTTTGCCATTTAAAAGACATACTACAACATTTAAAAATTTTAACAAATATTAATTCAAAGATGGAATTAAACATTCAGGGGTTTGATAAGAATAGGAATAGAAAAGATGTTTGTATAATAAATTGTAATAGATAATGCTTAGTTGATTAGAACCCTTAATATAAAGTTGTATTCATTTATTTATTTAAAATAAATTAAAACATAACAATGACTAGATTTTATAAATATTTAAATATTTCTTTCAAGTAGGTTCCCCTTTATAATTTTTCTCATTATTTAACATATATTTTTTTTGTTTCATTTTGTCTTTTCAACCAAAGTTTATCAATAATTTAGTTGTCTTCTAGAAATTAATAATCATCAAAAAACAGATGACTTATTTAAAAGTTACACATATAAATATTAATATTTATTCTACACACTACCATGGTAAAATATATGGACAGAGGTAATAGAATTTTATAACAAAAACAATATAAATAACAAATAAAAGTCTGCAATTTGCTGTTCAGCAATAAATTTTTTTAAGAGTGCAGATTCATTTTGATGTACTTTAATTTAATTACCCTTTTTTTATTTTTTCTTCTTTCTTTGCAGCCTGCCAAAAGTCTATAAAGGCTAAAAATAGACTAGAAAGTAAATACATATTAATGGTGACACTAAAGATTTCTTGTGTGAAGGGCAGGTTAAAGTCGAGATGTGGTTACTGCTGTGTTTTGCTCATAAAAGAGAATATAGGCTTCACTTGAAACTACACTTCTTGGAGAAATACTTGATACTCTGGAAATTTTATATATTCATTATATTTCTATAATAATTTCAAAATTATTAGAATGCATATAATAAATTTTCAATTGTGAAGAAGATAAATAGTCTAGATATGTTTCATTAAGGTTGCCAACATTTTCACCCAAGCATGTAAGTAATCATTAGGGCAACGGTCTAGTCAAGAAACAAGAGCTAAGTTCTGACTAGACAGTTACCATTACCCAGATGAAGATCCATATTCTTAGGTCGAAAAGTCAACAAGCCTTATAAAACGTTCCTAGACTTTAAATCCCGACCACTTATCTTCCCCATAACAAATATACCAATTTCTAAAGATTTTTTAAAAATAAAGAATGCTGTTAGAACATTCTAGAACATCAAAGGAATCAAATTAAAATTTTATTCTGGGATATCTAGTCCCATTATAATTATAAATTATGGTATCAAAAAGACAAAGTAAATAAATTAAAATTAAACATAAACACACATATATGTATATTGGTATATATATATATGCATAGGTATGTTTACATATTCCCACCTACAAATGGTGAAAAAAAAAATTTAAATAAAAAATTTGGACGACTTTCAATTAAGGAGGTAGAGAAATAATTTATGTTTAAAAAAAGTTGTGGATGATGTTTTACGAATGGAGATGGGTATAAAATTGCAAATGGAGTAGCATGAAAGATAATGTAAAGATAAAAAATAATTCATTAGTCTCTTTAGTCACATCTCAACCTGTCAGAATCAAAAAAATCTTAGGATCTGTTGAAGGACAGTAATGGAATGCAGGTGAAGAGATGATTCCAGAATTGGCATTAATAAAAAATTATTCAAAGGTTTGCAACAGAGGTACGGAGATGGATAGTTAGGTAGAATACGAGAAAGTCTTTGGTTTTTTCAATATTCAGTGTTAAACGCTTGTTTACTGATTAGCTATTATTAACTAAAAAACTCTGATGGATAATAGCTAATGGCGCTATGGTCCATGAGGGGTTTGGACAATTAATACTCAACAATTCTTCACCACTGAGTGATCCTCTGCAGCTCTTCTCCATTCTGTCACCCCCAGAAGCATCAACACCTTTCAACCTCTACAGCCTAGGTCTACCACATCCTCTTTTACCATCTGGGTGTCTTTCTATTATCTTCCTTGGGAGTCTTTCCTGATCCATATGACAGGAATACTTATAGGGACTTACATGTCCTAATCATCTTATCCTTCCCTTCTTGACAAATGAAACCTAATCCGGGTGTCTAAGTCCTTTTTGATTTGATTCTGTTTTCTCAGTATTTTCCTCTCTCATCTATTGAGAAAACTCTCCTGCCGCATTGTATGGGTCTATGCCTCACTGACATACATCACTACTGGTCAGAGGACAGTCTTGAAATGAAATGAAAATAATTTTATTATTCTGGGACTAGTGTCCCTTTAGAACAAGTCACAAATACAGAATAAATATCAATATTTTGGTGTGTCAATGAAATACTATTTAATATTTACAGGTTGATTCGGAGTACAATAAAGTTATAAATGATGATAGGATATAAATACGTGTAAATATAAAGTAATTAAGTGAACAAAATATTGATGAATTGATGATGAATGACGAAATATGAGTATCTGGGTGTACTTTGAGGTTTTTACAGCTTAGGTTTTTAAGTGCATTTTGTGATCAATCGGATTGGGAATGGAGTAGGCCTTCGAAGAGAGATTTGAAAGAGGATATCGATTTTGCGTGTCGAATATCTGAAGCTATAGAGTTCCAAAGGGAGACAACAAAGTCTTATGTCTTATGAGGACAGGATTTGTTTCGATTTAGAAGAATTTTCTCGAGTGTCCAATAGTATTAGCTATTATTAATGTATGAAATTAAATGTGCATTATACTTTATTACTACTTAGATTGTTAGATTTCTAAACGCATGTTTATAAAGAAGAGCTAACCCCAGTTTTCAACTAAATATAAACCTTTTTTTATTATTTCATAAGTACAATATGAATTATCCATGTTCTTTATCACTTCAATTCTATTCCAGCTCAAATTTACATATTTTTTCTATGCAAGCATTCAATTAATCTCTGAGCAACAGAGAGAAGTGAAATGGATTTTTTGCTGAAATGCTGCAGCATTCAACAGAGATAATACACAACCTATGAGGAGTCGTTACTACTAAAGATTCCAAATTTAAATGCATACTATGAGAAATTCTGACTTTTAACAAACTAATATTGGAAACTTATGAATACTTACCTGGAATCATTGAATTCATACCAATGACCTGTACCAGCATGGAGGCAATAAGCTGTGTAGTGGCCAGAATAGGCCGTTCCAGAATGGTTGGAAACAGCGTACAAATTATAAGTAGCAACTTGCGGAGTAGTAGAATAGCCCGACATGTCGAGGTTTGTTAAAGGGAACTCCACAGTAGCTGATAATTTTCTATATCGCTCACTAGGCGAAAACCTTTTAAGATCTATGATATACATTAAGGAACCATTTCATAACATATTAGTAAAAATTTAAAACTAATCAATATAATTTGCATCAAACTAGTAACAATGGCAGAATGGCTAGCAGACAGTTAAAGTAAAATTCTCTGATTTTCTCTATTATAAAATAAAATAATTATAAAATTTCTCAAGTAATTTAGTTTCTTTATTACTATAAACAGCATAATTTTTTTTTTTTTTTTATTCATGATATTTACAACTGTATTACAAGTAAAAATACATTCAGTAAATGTGAACAAAAGAATATAATAGCATGAAATCACTTGTTGAGAAACTACCCACTGGTAGCACTCTAAAAATGTATTTACAAAAGGAGATCTCGAGGCCATCTTCTTTTCAGACACCTCGGAGGGTTCATAATAATTATCGATATGACAAGTCTGACATTTCTAGTTAATAAATGCTCTTTTAAGGAGCACCACCGTTGCATGAATGAGTGCTTACCAGCCAGATCTTGACCCAGATATATACATTACAAATAGTAAATAGTATTGGTATGTTTTTTTTCTTCAAAAAATCACTGTTTTAATTCCATTTCGCATCAATTTTATTCATTACCCTTGTTTGATTTCGATAAAATGACCAGTGCTGTTATTGGCAGTCAAGGGTGGATGGATGTAGCGACTGTGATCCTTTATAACGACAAAGTTTACCACTTTAATGTCATTATAAAAGATATCGATTGTATATTTATTTCCAATATGAAAACAATATTTTCGTAGTAAAAACATTTCCTAAAGCGGACCCTACACGGTAATTCATGAATGAACGTCACAAGAATGGCTAAGATTGCTCGGGATCGTTTTGATCATGAAGACCCCTACACGTTCAATCATTACTGATCATTACTTATCGTTGCTGACACCAATTTAGCTCAGTTGTAAACAAAGAAACAACATAGATATGCTTATTTTGACATTGTAATTTATAATATTGGGCATCAAGAGAAAAATGGAGATATAATAATTACTTCCTAGTGCCTGAAAATCGTTTAGGCCAAAGTTAGAAAAATATAAGTCAACTACATACAAAAATCTAGGAAAAGTATTGCGAAAATAATCAATTTGTTAAGAAAAATGGAAAAATTAATGACAAATAAACACAAAAGTTAGAGATTTTTTTTCTATAAGTAAATTGTGAAGTTTCCACTTTTTATTTTTTTTTTATTGTTTGCCTACTTGACTATTTAAAGAAAAAATAGTTGAAAATGGTTAATAAAAATATAGACTAGGGATATAAACAACTATTAACTTTTATGAAATTATTTACTTAAAAACAAGACCTAGGTAAACTAACCTATCTAGTAGTAAGGTTAGTCTCATAGTAAATCGTTTTGACAAAAGTTAGTAAAATATAAGTCTACTATTTACAAAAATTAAGGAAAGGTATTGCGAAAATAATAAATTTGTTGAGAAAAATGGGAAGAGAACTGACAAATATACACAACGTTAAAGATTTTTTTTTCTTAAAGTAAATTGTGAAGTCCCACTTTTTTTTTTTATTTGTTGCCCACTTGACTATTTAAAAGAAATAGTTGAAGATGGTTTAAAAATATAAACAAGGAATATGAAAAATTATTTAACTATTTACTTATAATGAAAATGAGAAATTTATAATGGTTGTGAGGCCTAGGTAACCTAACCTATCCAGCAGTATGGTTGGTCTCCCCAGCCCATATGTTTAGTCGGTCTCCCCTCCACTTCTCGTGAATGAACCTTTGATTTCCGGATGTTCGGAAATCCGCAGCGCACCACCATCAGTACTTCATTCACTACCTTACACGACAATTCAGAACGTCATTAGTGCAATTCCGATTGACTGTGTAGGGTCCCCTTAAGTCCTGTTTGATTTGATTCTGTTTCCATTTTTGACTTTGGTTGGGCCATATATTTTTCTCAGTATTTTCCTCTCTCACCTATTGAGAAAACTCTCCTGCCGCATTGTAAGGGTCTATGCCTCACTGATATACATCACTACTGGTCGGAGGACAGTCTCATTTCTTATGAGGACAGGATATGTTTCAATTTAGAAGAATTTTCTCGAGTGTCCAATAGTATTAGCAAATTTTGTGAAGTTCCAAAATGTTTGGTCTCCCCAGCCCATATGTTTAGTCGGTCCCCCCTCCACTTCTCATGAATGAACCTTTGATTTCCGGATGTTCGGAAATCCGCAACGCACCACCATCAGTACTTCATTCACTACCTTCCAAATTTCCGTGTAGGGTCCACTTAACTTTAACAATTTTTTCGATTTTTCCCTGTTTGGAAAATTCCTTGACTTTTCGAATTTTTCCAGATTTTCCAGGTCGGTCGCCACTCTGAATTATATAAAAATAAATAATAATCATTGTAACATGGTTTTAAAAAGGATACGTAAAACTAAAATCTTGGGAAATTTTTGGATGGAAAATCTCTTAGTACATTTTCTCCTGGTTTTACACTTGCAGCATGTCTGAAAAAAAACATGTCAAGTTTATTAATATTTTAATCGAATAGTATTTCCAAACATAGAACTAATTATTATTAACAATTTTTCAGGAAACACAAAAAACTATATTTTTTATTTCAATTATAATATCAAACCAAAATTTTTTTAAAAATAAATTAAGAAATTCAATTATTCGCGAAACATATTTCCGAAAATCATTGATTATTCCAGTTATAATAAAAAAAAAACATGTGAACTTGAATAGGGTTCCTTTAGGAAAGAAATAAACTTCAAGGCTGTTTTTGAACAAAATGAAGATCAAATGGAATTTGTTTTGAAGAGAAACTGACGATTTAAGGAGGAAAAAGTTATGAAAATTATTGTACAATAAAAAACTAACTTTTGGTTCACAATAAAAATAATTTATTTTTATTTTTCATTTGAATAAAAACAGTTGTAAGAACTTTTAATGATTTTTTTTTTTAAGACTATTAATGAAATACAAGTTTCACTACATTTTTTGAAAAAAAAAATATTAAAAAAAAGGCTGTTTCGAAAATCAACTTACTTTCACACAACCGCTTTTTTTAATAATCAGGTTCATTTAAAAAAAAAATAATTGCACTATCGGAATCATTGAGTGGTATTTACATGATAATTGATTCTTATCTCAATTTCTATGGAAATTTATTTGGAGTTCACTTTGGAAATGTACTTACAGGCATTTCATCACCGTCGAGGACTTCTTCTTTTGTAAAATGATCAAGACATTGAGACAATCGTAGAGATCCAGATCTCGATGGCAAAGGTAGGGAAAGGTCCCAAAATACTTCGAAGGTTGTTGAACTATGGCCGCATGAAGTGCATTGCAAAGTCGATTTAAGTTGTCCAACAAATAAGTCGACAATCTTGCTGTTGTCACACCTTAGGTACTGTTTCCAACTCTCGCTCGCCTTTAAACTGTCACTGAAATGGAAACATATTAATAATGTTGGGATTTTTGATAATTACTAAAATAAAAAAATTAATGAAAAGGATCCCAACCGAAACGCATACTTTATTACACTGTTTATATAAAATAAACATTTTTTTTGTTCAAAAATAAAATAAGCAAGAACTAAATAAAATGCTTCTAAAAAAATAATAAATTAATCTATTGATAAGGAATTCGTTGAGGTAGGCAACCACAAGTAAAAAAGTAAAAATAAATAAATTATATTTATTTTTATTTTTCTCTACGTTTCGGCTTGTTCATGCCTTCATCAGGGCTGATTTCTCTTATTAATCTAGTTCTTGAAATAAAATTAAAAATATTCACATCAGGTTTTAACTTCTTCGGTAACATGGGTGGGTGTTCTTGGGCCCAACCTCTTTGTACATAGACACAGACAGCAGTAGGCAATTTATTGAAACAGTTCAAAGCAACTTTGGCGAAATGTACACACTTTGACTGATTCACTCGAACCTCACAGGCAGCAGCCAAAGCGGCGAAGATTTTTCTGAACTTATTTTTGTTCCATCATTTCTTGAAAAACTTAGAACTTTATTTTTTAACTTAAAAGCAATGAGTTTATAAATAATAAATGAAGTAATTCACTTTTTTTAGCTTAGCAGACAAAATCTTGACTAATGATCATAAGTACCATATATTACCCTAATAAGTATCATATCTTAAAATTTGATGTAGTCATTTATATTAGGACTATTCATGCAACCAGTGCTAAGTATTGTAAACCTCTTAAATGTGTAAAGTCGAGAAAATTATTTAAGAAATGTGTGTTAAATATGGCTGCTAGAACTCCCGATATTAACGCAGCCTAAGATCCTGTAAAATGTTGCTGACTTTGTAAATGCACAGAAAAGGTTATTCTAATGTTTTGATGTGTTTGATTCTCTCTTCCTTGTTTGTGTGCAATATCCACAGAAATAGAATGTAAAAACCGCTATGGTTTCATCTATGTATTCATCGAGCTCTTTGCCTTCTGAATCTTCATTCATGTTTTCTAATAAAGCTTTTAACCAAATAATCCAGCAACTCGGTCTTTTCACTTCGCTTTAGTAATTTTAAAAATAAATCAAAACGTTAGTAGATCAATTAAGAACTCACAAACTTTGCGGTATATGCAAAACCTTACTGTAACTGATAACACTTCAGCAGGTTATTTACCATTCATTCAAAATTTGTGCTGACTTCTTAGTATGATAGCACATTAAGTATTTACAACAAGTGCATGAATACCCCTATTGTTTATTTGCTAGGTAGTGCATATTTCTCCTCACTTATTCTAATAAAAATAAACGATCAAAAACTGCATGAATTATTTTCATGAACTGATGTGGAATTACAATTTCTATGTGGGATACAAGGAATAATAATAAGTAATTATGTTTGATGCCAGGAATCATAAAGAACATTGTATTTTACGTTAAGCATAACCTTATCTTAGTTTTAAAAAAAAAAAAAAATTCAATTGAATTTCTACATGTACCAAATATGAAGGTTACTCTTAAAAAAAATAAAATTATTATAACTATTACGTATCTATACCACTTTATAAAACCTTAATAGTGAACATTTTACATTGATCATTCAAAAACAACATTCAAACATTTTTATTACCGAATGAATATTTTTGAAATTTGTTAATATTGTACATGTCATTCATTACTTCATATTTTTTGTCACATTTTTATTTTCCGTTGTTTATCAAGCTTAACTTTGAAATCACAGTAACGATTTTTATTTCGGAGCCAGATGCACAAGAAAAAGAAATTTAAACTGAATTCAAAATGGATATTTCATTTTATTTAAGGAAAGAGATTCAGAATATTGATTGATTCCTGTGAGTACCACGATTGCTGCTTCTTTAGCAAGACCTTCCCTCAATTTCCATTGCTTTGTGAAAACAATTTTTTTTTAATAACTATACTTATAAACATTAAGACAATTTTTTTTTAATGTGACTGTTCGATATTTAAAAACTAATTTGATAAACAGAATTTATTTTCTAATAAAAAAAAGTTACTAAAAAAAATTACTGAAGGAAGCTAGTCGACTGCTCTACATAACATGGGTGATAAATATTCAGGAGGCAGTATTTAAAAAAAAAATTAATTTTTTATTTATGCCAACGTTTCAACCCAAACATGTGGGTCATCTTCAGGGCGTGGTTCGAGCACTGAAGATGACCCAGATGTTTACGTTGAAATGTTGGCACAAATAATAAATTAAAAATCTTTTAAAGCACTGCGACCTGAATATTTATCACCCATTGAAAAAAAAAAAAAAAAAATTCGATACATGGAGATTTTCGATAAACAAAAGTTTGATGAGCAGGCATAACAAATTAGCACAAGCACACAAACGTAATAGAAAATGAATAATGAAATTATCATTTAACTGCATGAAGAAAACTTGAATTACCTAAGATTATCATCAATCTCTGGTAAATTCCTGGGTTTTACAGCAACCCTGTTGATATCATCATGCAAACCTTCCAACAGGTACCTAAGGAATTCCTGGGCATCTTGCTGGTTGTAACCCATGAACCTCGGAGCATAACGTTGGATTTGAGCTTTGAATGCGGTAGTGTTTACCACTTTGCCTTCACCGCTCCATAATTCCATTATCACCTCAGAGAATGCTAGAAATTAAAGTGATATTTACAAATTTTATGAAATGCTGAACTTAAAAAAAAAAAATTCACTTTATAAGTTAAATAAAACTGCTTATATTAAAAAATATTTTAAGAAGTTAAAAAATCGTAGAATTTAGTAACATGTACACTTACTGAATTATTTTGTGGTAATAAACAAATATTTTAAAAATAAAATATCCCAGAAGAATAAACAAGATTTGAAATAACTAGACGGACTTCAGTGTGAGTCTTGGGCCAACGAAAGGAAAAAAATAACAGGAAATTTGACATATAATTAATTATGTTGTACTAGTAGAAAAAGGCCTACTTAGTCTCGATAAAAAAGAACTTTATTTTAAATTTATCCAAATTTTCGCCTCTTCAGGCATCATCAGGGATAATTTGATTTTATAAGTAATTCAAATCCTCATATGAAAAAACATATACAAAAACCTTTCAGAGGATTTACTATTAAACATTAGCACATTTTTAAAACCATAATAACCTTAAAAACATCAGATTATCCCTGAAGATGCCTGAAGAGGAGAAAATTTGGATAAATTTAAGATCATCTTTTATATTGTACTTTAAGTAGTTTCAATGTTAATAGTAACAATTTTTTCTTGGAATGTTAGTTTTCATTCTCCTTAATCTAAAAAAAAACTGTTGAATGAAACATGATAGAAGATCCATTATTATAATGGAATCTTTTTTAGCCTGTCCTAAAATGTTAAGAAATATTCCATTTCTTAAAATTTATTTAAGCTATTAAATATCAAGAACAAAAAAGTATGTAGACCAATTGTGCAGAAGATGAATAAGCAAAAGTATTTTGACAAGAGAACATTTTAAAATTTAAATAAACAAACTATTTAAATTATAGTTGAGGATTGACGATTGACTGTAGTGAATAACTGAAGAGAAGAATGGATGGCGTGATCAGTATAAAAACATAGTGAAAATAAATAATTATATTTATTTCTATATTTGCCGACATTTCAGGCCCAAGTTTAAAGTTCAGACCTTCATCAGGGCTGGTCAAATGAACAAACGTCGAAAGACAAACAAACGTATTATCATAATAATCTCCTTCATTTGACCAGCCATGATGAAGGCCTGAACTTCGGGCCGAAATGTTGGCAAATATAAAAATAAATATAATTATTTTTTATTTTCAGTATTTTTTTCTTTACTGATCACCCCAACCATTCTTCTCTTTAATTATTTAAATTATAATTGGAAAAAATTCCAAAACACACAGCCTTATGTCTCCTAAATGCAGGCAAAGAAAAAAATAAAAAACTTCAACGTTTTGCCAATTCAGGCATCATCAGAACAGAAAAGAACAGCAAATCGAACATCTCTCCATGATACCCAGTATGTGATAGGATGTCATGGAGTGATGTTCAATGTGCTGGTCTTTTCTGTCCTCAAGATACTTGAATTAGTGAAACGTTGACGGGTTGTTTTCTTTGCCTGCACTTTGGAGACATAATGCTGTGTGTTTTGTAATTTTCAATTTATAATCTAACATTTATGTTCAGTCTCTTTGTTAATTCGGTAATAGAGAGAGAAATACTTTTATTAAACTAGTGCTGCCCTACTATATAGGGTTGCTTGATACACACAGCATACTCATCAATCCTTTTTTTGGAGATAGCACTTAATTATACTAGTATCACACATTCATATTTATATATTAAATATTAATACTATTCAAAATTTCTTTTAATCAGTAAGAGTAAAAATATATATAAAATTAATAAATGGAAGTAACACTCACATTTAATTAAAGCACCTCTTGATTCAGAATTCCTTATTTCTGACATGAACTCTTTATTTATCAGGAATTCCTTCAAAACTTTAGTATTGCTCAAACATTGAACAACAGAATTCATAAAACACTGAAAAACAATTTATACATAAGAACATATCATGGACAGATGAAATCAAAACATATTCCTAATTACGCTAATAACTTCTATCTAGCTTTACAGGGTGTTGTTTCAGGCTTAAGCGGCCAAACTGAAAATATGAATTAAGGACCTCAAAACAAGAAAAAAATTTCCTCTAAAGGTATGTCCGCAAATGCTTTGACTAGGAGATATTCACACCTACAGATTTTCATTATTACAAATTATTTAAGTTATATTAAGTAAATAAAATGTATTTATTTGTTCCAACTACTTTATTAATTAAATGTAAACATTAAATTCATATTAAATGTTGTCCAAAGTGATTCGGGCTGTTATTAACAATGTGAAGGGGCAAAAATACCACCAGCACGTGGTATTATAGCAAATGTGCCAGTTTCTCCAAGACTTTGAAATGTGGAGCTAAACTAAAGATAGACTTGTTTAGTAATCTATTCGGAAATCGCCTGGCAAATTCACAACAGGGCGCATTAGCATTATCATTGCAAAAACCATATACAAACACTATATTCACCATTGGTATAAATGGAAGGCATCATGATGAGTACTCTTCGAAAGCCTCTTATGAATTGATAAATGTTATTGAGAGTTCCGAATGCTAATTCCATATAGTATTAATCCTCATGTTACCAATATTTTTATACAGTTAGGAATAAAAGACCATATTAGTATTCTCCACATACATCTCCTAAACAAAGCATTTGCGGACATACATTCACTTCCAACAACATTCAATATGAATTTTAATGTTTACTCAATTAATCAAGTAGTTAAAACAAATAAATAGGTTTTATTTGTTTCATATAACGTAAATAATTCATAACAACGAAAATCTTTAGGTGTGAATACCTCCTAAACAAAGTGTTTGCGGACATAACTTCAAAGGAAATTTTTTTCTTGTTTTGAGGCCCTTAGTTCATTTTTGCAGTTTGGCCACTTAACTTTGACACATCCTGTATAGGTAACCATTATTATTATTATTTTTTTTTTTTTTTTGTAAGATGCCCTTTTGAGAAAGTACTGTTCCTAGAATAACAGAGTGAGATTTCTTCCATGGGACAGATTCAAAGTAGTGTAGCTTTACATACAACAATATGTAAGTCCTAGTGGCAACACGCTCAGCGATTATAATAATTTTATTTCATTTATGGGCAAAAACAAGTGTATGCAATCATATTGCATAAAAGTTCCAAACAGAATCTGGTTGTGGAGCGAGGTAAAGAAAGAACACTCACAGTAAGCGTCAACTTATTTTTAATGTGTATCAATGGTTTAGGCTTAAATTAATCGTCCAGTAATTTTTTGTACCAACATTCACAAAATGCCGGCATCTGTTTATATCTATTCGGTAAAAATTAGAATTTTATTTATTTAAAATTAAATTAAAAGAACAAGAATTAATTATTTTTGTCATTTGCCTATTGGTGATTGTTTGCGAATTGATAAATTTTCTTCATGTGGACAAATATGAGTTAATAAGTAGATTAAGAATTATTTAATAAGTAAATTAATCAGATCAAAGAAAAAGTTAATAACACCATGTTAACTATTAAAGAAATGAAGAATAAATATATATAGTATAGTAAGAAATACAGAGAACATGAGATAATTGTATAGAATACATAGAAAAGTATGAAATTATGAATTATTTCATATTCTCATACATGTTATTCCTACTCTACAATTGACTAGATAGCTTAAATGTTTGTAACACGAGTTTTACCTCTTCACTTAAGAGAACCTAGCTTAGAAGAAAAAAAAATTAAGGGTATAAGTTGAAATAATTTGACGAGAAAATTTAACTAAGTCAAAGAAACTAGCTAATTAACTCTACAGGAATGCGCTGACAATGAATGTGTCCAGTTTACCCGCTTTATTCTTACTCCACTGTGTTAATCGTTTCTTTTTTGTTCTTTTTTTCAATACTCTGTTTTTATTTATTTATTTTCAATTTACATAAGTTTCTTTCTTTCTTTTTCTTTTTATATTCATAAAACTTTTTATTATAGAATTGTAGGACATTCGTGATGAGCCGATGAAATTTAAAAACTCTCACAGTAATAATACAATGAATCGACATAGAAATTTTAAAAAAGAAACCTACGGTATTTCCAATGTTTCTCAATCCACTGAGTCCATTAGATGAAGAGCTGCTCACTGAACTGCTGGCAGTAACCTCTTTGCGTGACGAATTAGCAGCTGACCGAAAGTGTCTTGGTGATATATTTCCCTGGAAAATTATTTTTTTATAAGTTAGAAAAAGGCATTTAAATATAATATTTTAAATTAAATGGTTTGAATATATATATATATATATATATATATATTTGCAATTTTTTATGTAATGTATATGTTTAAAATTTTTAAATTCTTGTTACTGTTAAAATTATTAATAAAAGTTTTTGTTTTTTTTTAATGACATAATATCAATTAGAATTACAATTTTTTTTTACTCAAGTAAAAATCTGAAATACCATTCTAAAGTCTGAATAGTTTCTATAATTTGTAATAATTAATTTTAAAGGTAATGGATAAACTAATTGCTTCAACATCACAATTTTTCACTACTTTTTTTTAATCGTAAACATTATAAACAAACCCGCTTAATCAAGAAATTGACAAAGGAGGCTCTTGTTTACAGTATTTTAAAAATAAAATTGCTGAGTAAATTAGGTATCCTAACATAAGGAATAATTTATTTATTTTTTTGTTAAAAATGAATAGAACTAAACACCATCCCATACTACATTGTTAGAAATTTAGTAATGGGGAGGAACCTTTTTCGTTTATTATAGAATGTTAACAAAGAGAATCGTCCACCTTATGTATTAATGTGAAATGTAAAGATTTAAATTAGGTAATCGAATAAAATCAAATGCCGTGTGTAAACATCAAATCTTTGTGTGAATCAAAAGTAGGAAATTGATAACTTCCTCAGACTTAAAACCTAGGTGTAATTTTTTATCCAATATTATTTACCAATGCTTTCTAGACGAATAACCACATATGAGGATTATGAGGAGCGTTACTCTTCTTTTTTTTCCGTTAGATTACTATAGTTACGTATTTGCTTTAGTGTAAAAGCGTACATAATAATTCGTGAATATATTCAATTGAATCAAACTTTGAGTGAAGACCCCCAGAATAGATTTTTTTTTTTTGTGAGAAATAGAAAAACAAATTTTTTTCCCGGTGAAAAATTGCAAAAAAAGATCCAATAGAATTTTGCATTTTAAAGTTACTAATCAAGATCAGATAGGTCTGTTGAGGACTTTGTTTCCACTTAAACAATAAAAAAAAGATAAATCCTTCAAATCTGAGCCCAATTATTATTATTAAATACAAAAATAAAAAATTATTTATCAGTACTAAATATTTATAAGAAATTATTGCTATTTTTTGCTTGAATGATTACTCCCTTTATCTAGCATTATCTCAACCCGATAAGAAAGAGTTATCAATCATTTCCTTTAAAATAGACCGATGGTTTCCTGCTACTTATGATTAAAAAAATAATCATATTTTCTCAAACAGTAAGAATTTATAACTTAAATTCATTTAGAAAACATAGCATTGTAATTTCCCAAATGGTGGACATACCAGTTTATTAAATTCTTAAAAGATATCAATATGTTCTTGATAAATCAATTTGATTAAATATACATCAATGATAAATCACACTAACATTAAAAAATCAGACGAACATACTAACTCGAAATAAGAGTGTAATTATTTAAACACAATTTAAGATCTTTTAAGAAATTAGATCGTTTATTGACCTTTTCTTCTACGGAAGAAGGAAATGAAATCGGGATTTTTAGCTATGAATATCTACAGCTCTCAATAAATACCATTATTACTATTTAATTATACTTTAGAAATCATTTAGAAAAATATTCTATTAAAATGATTTCATAAAAATTAACAGTAATTCAAAACTTCAAGTCCAAGTCCAGAGATACTCGTACAACCATTTTCAAGTACGTTACACCTCTTAAATATGTTCGTTAAAGCATACTGATTTTGCAAATATGTGGGAGAAAGGAAAGATTATTAAGAGGTTTTCACCTTATGTTAACTACTTTTATAGATGTGAAAAAAAAAAAAGGACAAATTATGAAACAAGGACAAAAAATTCCCCTATCCATTAATTCTCCTAATCTTTAAATACGAAAAATGCAATGAAATACTAAGCATAAAAAATGAGCTAACTGTAAAAAAAAAAAATTATCACAAGGAAATTAATTTTCTTTAACATACTATACTTCCTACCATCTTAACTTCATACCCATAAATAAAATTATCTTATTCTGACTGTTTTACTTCTGATAATTGTAAACATGATACAAAAATATATTATGATAATTTAAAAAAATAAAAACATTTATTTCATTTATTATTATTAATTGAGAAAAAAAAATATTGGATTTGCATATCTGTTAAAACAGACTCTCCCACTTATAACATCTTTATTAAGTATAAATAAATTGTAATCATTACTGAAAATTATTTATAAAATATCTAACTATGTTAATAATAACCTATATCAATATAATAATATACTATATCAATTAATCATAACATAATAAGGAAACGAATACTACCACCATCAACTTTTATACATAAAAACAAACATACAATTTTGTTATTTTAGAGGCGACAAGACTGATGTTTTAATATAACTGTTGTGTATGTAGAGACTAAAGTCATGACTTATTTGATATTACTAAACTGTGGTCTGGAACTTCCATAAATCTGAACTTTATAATTTAGTTAAAAACGTAGCGACAACAAATTTATTAGTTACTGGTTTTATTTTATTAAGAATATGATTACATATTGTTAAATTAAATTAAATGTTTAAAACATAAATACACAAAACAAAGAATGAAATTATTCCTTTCCCTTTGAGACACAGAAACAAAGAATTTTTAATATAATATTTAAAGAAATTTACAAGGAACAAAGTATTTGCACAACACGTTTTTATGAATAAAGTAGTTCAAGGAAACAAAAAACTTCGCTTTCCTTTGAAAAATGAAAAGTAAATTTATTAAAAACAGAAAAAACCTTATTACAAAAAAATAAAAACACTTCATAATCAAAGAAAATAATTAAAACAATAAAAGTGCTTGGAAAAAAATATTTGCACACTTCCACATTTACAAGTTTATTTTAAATTTTAATATTTTGTAAATAGGCCATTTGCGTCAATAATTGCTTGTAGACGTCTGCGCATTGAATGCACTAGGTTTTTAATTAAATCTACATTTATTTGTTCCCATTCTTGAACAAGAAGTTGTTTAAGGTGATGTCCACTAGTGATATGGTGTTTTCTTACATTTTGGTCAAGGGTGTGCCATAAATTTTCAATAATATTTATATCTAGTGACTGAGGAGGAGTGTGGAGCTGTCATGGAACATTAAATATTAACCACTCCTTTGTTCTCCTCGCAGTATGTTTTGGATCTTTGTCCTGTTGGAAATAGTACTGGTCCTAGATTCCCATTTTTTCGGCACGCAAATTACGTCACAAAATGTTCAAATAGCCTTCCGCATTTAAAATGCCTGCGATGCTCACAAGATTTCCCACGCCATGCTAGGAAACACACCTCCAAACCATAACATGTCCTCCACCATGCTTTACAGTTGTTAAAACATTTTGCTTCTTTACTTTAGGGCTTCATTACGATGTCGCCATATCGTCCTTCGACCATCTGAACCAAACAAATTAAATTTGCTTTCTTCAGAAAAGATGACATTTTCCCAAAAGCTTTAGGGTTTCTGTACATACTCCCTAGCAAAAGCAAGGCGATTCCTTTCACTGATGTATGGCTTCTTTCTTGGAACTCTACCATGGAGCCCTTCTGAATTCAGGGCATATCTAATTTTTCTGCTAGTAATCTGAACTCCAGACATTGATTGGACCATGGTAGCCAGCTTCCGAGAACTTATCAGAGAATTTTTAAGAGCATCTTTTCTGATTTTCCTCTTCAGCCTGGGAGTTAACTTTTTTGGACGCCCATTACGCTCACTATTTTCAGTTTAACCACGTTCTTCATACCTTTTTATGACGTATCTCACTGTAGAAAAATTCAACCCTAAGAAATCGCCAATTTGGTGATGTTTTTTGCTGACTCCTCAGTAAAACAATTTTTTCGCGAGTTGCGGCACACAGTTCACTTGTCTTTGGTATGATAATTGTCTATCGACTAAAGGAAACTGGTTATAAACGATTAGAGATAAATTAGTAAACAAACCTATGACCTATGGACACAGGAGAATTAATGCCAAAGTAAACAGAGCTTGTGAGTCATAGTGTGCAAATACTTTTTTCCAAGTACTTTTATTGTTTTAATTTTTTTGTTTCATTATGGAGTGTTGTCATTTTTTTTCAAAAGGTTTTTCTCAGTTTTTAACAAATGTACTTTTCATTTTTGCAGAGGAAAGCGAAGTTTTTTGGTTCCTTGAACTCATTTATTCATAAAAACATGATGTGCAAATACTTTTTTCCATCACTGTAAAAGCACTTGTTAGGAGACAATTTAACATAATATTTTTACAGAAAATATAAGTCTCAAGTTATGTGTAACTTGAAAAAGTCAATTTTTTTTGTTACCTTTTCAAACTGGAGTAACGATTGATCTTTTTAAGTATGATATGAATACTCAAATCAAAACATGTTTGTATTTAATTGCATGAATATAAATATATTCATAGACAAAATATTTCATACTCGTATACCCCATCCCACTCCCTCCTTGAATTCAGTTATCAAATATATATTTTTTAATGTTTCAAAAACTGTTGTTTTGTATGTATATTTGGAAAAAGATTAAAACAAATGTACCTTAAGAAAGAAATAGAAACATAAAAAAAAAAATTGTTTTTGTTTTGTTTTTTTGTTTCGAAAAGAATAACGTACATCAATAGAAAAAAAAAAAGTTTTACCTCCCACATTTGACAGAAAAAAAAAAAAAAAAGAAACCATACTTACAATTAGAAAACTATACACAACTCACATATAACACAAGAAATGCATACAACTTGGACTCACCAACACTCTGTAACTAAATGTCACAACTCCACAAACTAATGAAACCTATGGAAAAAACATAATGTTAGTTATCAAAAAGTAAATCTTATAACATTACAAAAAAAAAAAAAAAAAAAAGAAAAGAAAGAAATCAATGCTCCGAAACTATGCATCCTACAAGACAGAGATCATAAGCAACAAGATATATGATGGCAGCAGGACATTACAAAGAAATTAATAACTGTTTTAATCAATCCAAATACAATCCTATAAGTGCGAAACATAAAATCCCAAAAACATTATTTAATTTTTGTTCATTAAGATGACAATTCAACTATTGTTGAATCAATATAATAAAATAGGCAATCTTATTGTGAACTGGTACTGGTAGCAAAAAGCAGTCCAGGAATGGCTATCTATAGATTGTGGGTGTATTTTAACAATTGTCAAAATTGTCATTACCAAAAGATAATTATTAACAATTAGCTATAAAAATGACCCCCACTTTTAAAGAAATTGTTTGATTTAATTTTAAAAAAGAAAAATCACTGCTGAGATATAAATATAATTCATGAGAAAAAATTAAAAAACCTGAAATCATTTAAAATAAAAAATTATAAAAATCTTAAGGGGGCAGTAGAACATAAAACCAGCTCTTCAACAGTTGTAGCTCATAAAGTTTATATCCTTTATATGACTGGTGTCTCATATAATAAAAAAAATTAAACAAGTTTTTAGGGTTCAATGATCCATCCATATAGAAATTTGATTATATGACCAAATGAATCAATTGAAACAAATTAATTAAAAATAACAACAAAAAAGAAGGAAACAAATTGTACTTAAAAAAAAAAAAATTTCAATCAAAGACTGTTAATACCTTCATAATAAAGAACAATAAGCTATATGATACAAGATTGAGTAGATGCACAAAAAATATCCACACTATTTCTATTCAATTAGTATTCATAGAAAAAAAACCTCAGAAAATCTATTACAAATTTTAAAATAATACAAAAAAAAAATTAATAACCTGACATACTTTGTTGGGCCATAATTTAAGTTGTACCAAATGAATATTAATGATTCTAAAAATAGTCAATAAACTGATGAAAAAATGTGATGTTGAGCAGAATGTTCCAGGTTCGTATCAGAACTAATTAATGTAATAACAGCTAAAACACATTTTTATCATATACATTTAAAAAATGTATTTAGTAGTTCCAGGTTCCAAGATTTACTAACTGTAATTAATGAAATGTCATACTCACGGGATCCAGATAATGTTTCACCTCGCTGACCCTAATGACCCAAAATTACCTACTTATTTAAAATAAGTGCACTACAATGTGAAGCGTAAGCAAATTAGAAGGACAGATGTAATGAATTTACATGACTTAGCTACGCAGTTAATCAAACTCTTTCAACTGAATTATATTTAACCGTTTAGAAAAATATGTTTTAGTTAATGCAATTAATCAGCTATAATAAGAATAATTTGCATATAATCACTAAGCATTACTTATATTTGCACTATAAGCCATGTAAGCTGAAAACTGATTATTGAAATTGGAGAGTAATAATTCTGTTTTCATCAAAATACGTATTTCTGGTGATTCGAAACTAATAGGCCATATTTATTTTTTTTTTTTTTAATGTAGATCAGGTAAGTAGACAATAGTGAATAGAAAAGGTGTAGGTGAATTAAGGACAGATGTGCAATAAAGATAATCCTTTTAACAGTAAACAAGATATTTTCAATAAAATTATTTTATAATTTAAATAACTGATTCAGGATTATCGGAAGAGATAAGTGCAAATTGTGATTTCAAATAGAAATAGTAATTGAACTTAACATCTGCTTTTAACTTATGTTTTCTCAACAAACCAACATTATTTAAAGACAATATTCAACACATCAAAACACAATTTCCTATAATGAATTAAATGTATTAGTAATAACAACCAATAAATGAAGCTATGAAATAAATATCCAGTTAAATAAAAAAAAATTAATTAATAGTTTTGAGGTTAAAACAATTTTTTAAAACGAAGAGCATGCCAACTACCGATTAAGATCATAAATTGATATCATTACATTATTTTGATTATATACTACATTATCCAATACATCAAATGTGACAGTTCAAGAAGTACTATGAATGGTGTTTCAGGCGTTTCAGCAATTCTTCTTCTGTTAAACTCAACTCTTCCAGCAACATATTTTAAAACTATGGCAAAATAAAAAACTGACAGTGAATAAAGCACTGAAAAAATAACAAAATAAATAAACATCTTAGGACGTGGTATTTGGCATACTATGGTGAATGACACTAAATGAGGACATAAGTATTCAGAGAATATAACCTTTTGAAAAAGGGAAAAAAACTAGCAGAAAGAAAATAGATAGACAAAAATAGAATGGCGTCCTCAATTAACCTCCACCTATCAGACTAGATTTCTAACTCAATAATTTAAAAAAATATCGAACCAATTATTTTATTCAAATAATTTGAATTAAAGGAAAAAAGGTTTAAAAATAGACAACTCCATGTTATAATTATACAATACTTGGAATAATTCCATGTTTGATGGAAGGAAATAACCAGGTCAGTTTGTTGGCAATAAATTTTGATGTCATGATTATAAAAGCATATTAAAATTTGAGCATTTCAGATACATTAGTCAATAAAGCTGAGAAAACAAAAGTATTAAAAGAAATAAAAAATAAGGTAAAAATGAAGAATAACATAAGAATATAAAGAGAAATTAAAAGTAAAGAAAACATTTCTAAATAAAGATTACAAGCACACTATCAAACAGCTTAAGTTAAATATACAACTACCAATTCTATACCAGTATGATAAATCAATTTGACTTTCATTTCTTAACATTTCACCATCTTGTTCACTTAAGCTGCCTGATAATAATTAAATAATTCAACTTACCACGTCTGCTGAGTCATTGGTCTCAGTAGCCCCATCATGTTTTATTGCAGATGAATTTACCTCCAACAAAGACAATTCACTATCATCAGTTTTTTCATCTTTGGCCACATCTCCATTGATAAGATCAGATGTTTCTTTGGTTTTGTCAGCAGGAGAAATTACCTCCAGATTGGCGCTTTCTGAAACTTCACTTTTCTTTTCTCTCAGCACTGATGTTGATGCTCGAGTCCTCAGGCCTTCAGTTGACCTGGGGGGACGACTGAGCTCGGAACGTGTGGAGCCAGGAATGTAGCTACTCGGAGCGTACGTTATTCTGAATTCGTTTAAATCAAATGTGGTATAGTTTGTAGTAGGCTTCCGATGACTTTGGGTTGAGCTTTCAGAACTGTAACTAGTAGTGCGAGATCTCAAAGTGCTTGTGTCCCTTGTTTGACTTCTGTCCCTTATATCGTCAGTAAGGGAGCTTGATCTCGATCCAAGGCCAACCCTGAAACAATTACGATTCTACATCTTAAATCCAGTAAAAGTTATGAGAAAAAACACTCCTATTTACACAAGTTTACAAAACATTTTTAACAATTGGCTTACCTTGATGTTGAATATTTTTGAACAAGCTCAGCTACAAGTGGTGAAGAGCCAGAAGTTCTACGGGAACATGAGGAACTCAGGCTATTAAATTTAAGACGAGAATATTCAGGTTCCAGAATGCTCTTTGTTATGGGTACGGGCATTGCTGCACTGTCCCGGCGGTAATCCACTGTCACGGCAGAGCAAGGCATTATACCTCACATGAGATCTAGAAATTAATGCAAAATTTTATTTTCAAAACACCAACTACACACACTAATATTACACATACATTGTTAAAATAGACAGAAATCCATAAACTTATCTTACGCAATAATTGCAAATTTGAAATTTTTTTGTAACGCTTCATAATTAATTGCTTTATATTACTATGTTACTTTAAATTGTAAAGAAAAAAATGCCAATTCCCATTATACAACTAAAAATTAACCAAATAAATTTACATTAAAATTAATAGGCAATGTATGTAAACAGCTGACATGTTTAACCAGTACTTATGAAAAAAAAATCCAGAGGGATTTAAATAGTAAAATGGATAAGCTAGTCATAAATCTAACTTAAATAACCACTAAGGGATTACATTATTTACCTAAAATTTGTTCATAAGTAACCAAAAAAACTCTTAAAAACTCAGTTAACACATGATACTACCATTTAACAACCCACAGTCAAACCATATGAACTTTTAAAAACTGCCAAAATAAAGATGTTATTTGCATAATAAAGGTTAGGAACGTAACCTGAAAGGATACTATCAAGTAAACACCAATGACAGAGCAGCTAACAACAAATCTTATCTAATTTCAAAACGATTTTAAACAAAAGAATATTTTTTGCTACAAATGTCAAATAAAAAGACCTAATGACAGTTTCTCAATGTCATGTTCCTCAACCATTACAGGGATTAAATCAATTATAGGGACAAAAAGTTTGCTCAAACTTACAACCGATGCACAAAATACGTTCAATCAGGGCTTAAGATATCTCATTTTAACGAATAATTTATCTAAAACGAGAAATCTTACCTAACAACCACCCAAATACGTAGCCTCATCAAGACCCATTTTAAGAAGAATGACGTCATTCTCTATCCAAGGCAGGGACATTAAATAAAATGTGATATTGAATTTCTTCAGTTTATTTATCATTATATTTCACAAATTTGATTATATACGGTACGATTACCGATTCTAAGTCATGGATTTATAAATGAAAACAATCTTGCTTTATAAATTGATGACAAACATGACCTGATTATTTGGCGGAATCAATCATGCAATTCAAAAATGAGTGAATGCACAATTGCCGTATTAGAACTTTATTAGTTAAAAACAAAGAAAAAGATAAGACATTTTTGACCAAAATTCTTCACTTTAAGTAATTCAATTGCATTTCATCTATACTTTAAAAGTAAAAACAAATTAGACAAAGTTATTACAACACAAATATCAGATCTAAAATTAAAATCTCAGTTACAATTACAGCACTAAACTAATTAATAGCAATAAACTCACCGTTTATATTATTCAAAAATTAATCAATTAATACTTTCTAACCTAAGAAATCGTATAACTAACAATAATTAAACCTTATGTTATTCATTATAAAACAATGAACATGGCTATAAAATTACGTTTATAAGAGCGTACCATGCTATTCAACAATGTAATAAAACTAATTGTTAATCATTGTATGATATTGTCATAGTAATAAAGCCCAACAACTTTTTTTTTTCGTATAATTTCTTAGTTTTAGACATGTTATTCCCCACAAATGACATTTAACATTACGCTTTCCTATGAACTGGTTTTTATTATTTTTAATTTTCTTTATTACTTCACAAGAATGAATACACACCAAAACCGAATTTAATTTCTAAATTAAATTTCCATTTTCATGAGTGTGTTTAGTTTCATTTGTAGTTTTGAATTACTAACAGCCAACATTTCATTGTAAATTAATATTTTTTTTTATTCTTGTGTAAAATTGTTTTTCCAACTTAACCACAGAATGTTACTTTTAATGTCAAATCGTTCAATGCATATATATTTTTTTATAGATGAATCTATTGTTTGCTTCCTCGCTACCGAAGGCAGAGAAGCTTTTTATTCGAGTTTATTATATTTTTTATACCACTTTTATTTTACTATACCATTCCTTGAGTTCTAATTCCAAGAGTAAATTTTTTAATGTGTAGAATTCTACTATTTTATGAAATTATGTAGGGTTATTAAGAAGAGATTTAAAAAATACAGGAGAAGGAATAGAAGAAAAAATATATAAATGATTGAAAATAAGAAATAAAAATATTGAATAAATGAACAACTAATATATTTATTAATATTAAAGTAATTAATTAAAATGTTGATGATTCATAATTATAAAATACATCGACTAATTTAGAGTATTTTCAAAAGGGATCGAACGTTGTATGTTGGCAATACTGTTAATGAAGTGTTTTTCTCTTAAGAACAGTTTCGAAAAAATTTAAAACTTAATTTTAATGTATGTAATTACTTGTATATTCCTTAGAAACTTTACTTTTCCATTGTCTACCACGGTTAGATTATTTTTTTTAAACTTTCTAGAAGAATAACATCGTTCCAGACGTTTATATTTCTTGTCAGTTCAGTCACCTTATTCAATCAATAAGCTTAAATATTATAAAAGTTATTCGCTTCCTCAGTGCGATTAATAGGAGGCTAGACGATGGTTCCTAAGTCAAAAAGAAGAAATGGATATTCAGTTGACCATTTAATGGCCTTAAAGAAAAGGTACGTGAATTGATTTGTTAAATCATATATGAACTCTTATTAATATCAGTCATTTTTCTGCTAAATCTTGTCAATTAAAAAACATATCTTTATTATACCATGTTCTTTATTATGTTGCTGTTTGTTAAGTTGGAATTTGTTAGTTACTCAAATACTATTTATGTGATATACTCGTATTTAATGAAGGAAATAAAATTAAATTTGTCAGGGCTTATCTACTCTTTAACTATTTAGTTCATTAAACATTTCGACATAATCATATTAATAACACTGTCTATTAATATTTTATTACAAATATTTCTTATAAAAAACAATTGTATTCAATATGCCATAAATTAGGCATTTGCATATTTTTCAAGGACTTATCCAGCTCAAATAAGGGGTAGAGGAAACTTTAATCAATAAATTTAAGAGATTAATAAATTTAATCTCTTTTGTGCATTTTTTCTTTTGTAATTTGTTTCTTTCAAAATTCAGAAGTATTAACAACCAGCACTAGAGAACTCAGGATTTAATTTTTTTTTTTTTTTTTTTTGGTGGGAGGGTTTCAGCCCGAAAGTTTTTTTTTCATATATATATATATATATATATATATATATATATAACAATAATTACTTTTAAAAAAAGAAAGAAACTACCTACATGAAATGGCGTTTAAGTGATTCTTGAAGTCCTATAAAATGTAATTATACGATAATTAAGAGATATTTTTTTTAAATATTTCGTTCCATAAAACATAGTCATGTTTTACCATTTTGGGAGACTTCACCTTAATAAATTCTTTTGAAATATTTGCTATTTTACGTATTTTTAAGTATATTTTACCTTAGGAAGGGTTTCATCGTGCTCCTTCCTCTTTCTCGTCTACGCCCATCACATCTCTCATTTTCCTTTTGTCAAATCAGAACATTGCACTCTTCGAGTAACCATTTTTGATTTATAAAATGGTTTGTGTCATTTTGATTTACTTACTGTGTTTTTTCATTAATAAATAAGGTCGAAATTAATAAAAACATATATAAAAGTCTAACTCCATCAAAAGCGTACTTAATTACATTTTTTTATAAACCGACGATTTATAAAAAATGTCAATAAGCTAATTTTTTTGTATTTTATTTATTAAAAACTGCATACAATTTTTAAAATAAATTTCTCGTATTGCTCTTTTTGTCGAATATTTGTTAGAAGTGATATGTTTGAATTTAAATTGATAGGAAATTGGCGCTTGTTATTATAATTTATAATTATTGTTTCTATGTTTTAGAGGTATTATTATTTTTTGATAGGATCTGGTCCGGATTTTAGACATTAAGAGAGTACGACATCTGAAGAGTTATAATGAAAATACAAATTGTTAAGATTATTCGGATTTGGGAATTAAAAAAAAAAAATAAATGACAGGTTAAATGATAAAATAAGCACTGACTTAGGAGGATTTCCAATCTCCCATAATAATTCGATTTATAAAAATAAACATCATTAGCCAGTAATAAACATGAACGATTAAAATAAATAAACTACAATAAAGTAAACAAAAAAATAGGAAAATCCGGCATTGCAAATAATCTAATCGTTGTTGATTATTAGTGATTTTAAAAGTTTATTTCGTATTTTTTTTTTTTTTTTATCTTTAACTGATTCAGTACTGATTTTGATTATTTTATATTTTTGTTGATGTTTCATTTTCATTAAACAAAATTACCAATTCTATTCTTATCCCAAATAGGTTGTATATTATTTTATAAAATATTCAATGGTCTGGACAACGTTTTTTATATATATTCATACGAAAAAAAAAAAAAGATTGCCGATATGTATAGAATTTTGGTTTATTATTTTCAATAATCATCCATTATGATCGACCAAAAAATTCAAAAACTTGACCCCCTCTCAAAATTTGAGGTTTCCCGTTTCAGGGCGCGTAGAATTCGAAAAACGAATACAATTTTTTTTGTCCTTCCGCCGTCCCCCGTCCGCGCATTTTCTCCGAAACTACTGGACCATTTTTTTTCAAATTTTGATATAAAATCAGAGGTCACCCGAAGATGATCCTCCTTTTTCGACATTACTCTCTGCCTTTAATTTTCAAAATGGCGGCCGAAAAACCTGCGTTGCTATAGACTGTAGCTCCTAAACGAATGTACAGATTTCAATGAAACTTCGCTAAATTCATTTTCTCGACGCCCTTTAAATTTATCTATATAACATACTTCAACGAAAAGAAGCTGGAAAAAAATTTACGAGGGATGGTAAAATTAAATTCCGAATAACTCGAAAAGTTTTTACTTTTTTGTTGATATTGTATTGTATTATAGTTTTTTAAAGTTTACCAAATTTCCTAAAAAAATCGTTAAAATCGGATAATTAGGAGCAAAGATATGGTCTCCGGTTTTTTTTATTTGTTCTACTCCAAATGT